ACTAGGCATTAAGTTTTAATTGACTGATACCACAATTGAGAAGGAAAGAGACTACGTCAAACAATAGATTTGGAATCTTGTTATTTTGTATGTTCCTATAGTAACACACCTTTGCAACAGGATCACATCCTTGGTCACTGGCACCAGATAATGTAACACCTTTCACCGCCTTTCGGTAGAGGCTGGTCGACACTAACTGTCCTATACCTAGCTAATCCGATTCACGACCCATTCACTCATTACAATTTCACATTCACCATAAAAACTCGTCCGTCACCACTAAATCCGCCATACAACACGACACCGCATCCTCCCAAGGGGGACCTACAAAACGCGCCCCATGCCATAAAAATTTAATGATAATAATAATAATGAAGAATGACAGGGGAGGGAGATGAACCCAATAATAACTAAAAATCAACACAAAGTAAATTAAACATAACTGATGTTAGTAGGGCCCGTCCTACCCTAAAAAAAGAGAGGCCGCTGTATTCTGCCCATTGGACAAAATCAAGAAGCTCCCTCGCTAAGGGAGTGGGAAAAGGATAAAAAATTATACGGCCAAGGGAAAATATAAAGCTGACACAGTCGAGATAAAAAGGGACCAAAAAACAAACTGGGGAGGTTGGGAATCTCAACCTGGATCGTAACCAAAGATGTAGCCGGGGACAGACCGAGAAGAACACTTACATTAACTAGGTACACAAAAGCTTGTCTAACCTAACCAAAGGGAGGGCTCCACAGGAAACCACCCCGATGTGACGTAGGCTTGACCTAAAAAAGAAAATCAAGGCTAGCCCCGTTCAAACGAACCAAGCTCGCCTCAGTCACCCACCTTTCGTTTTCTATCAGTTCTAATCTTCATCTTGAGCTTATGCTCAAAGAATCGGATCAGATCCTGATGAGAAAGACGGATAAACGCAAGACTTCCTACTGTCGCGTCGTCCAAATCACCATTCGGGCCGTGGCCAGCAGCGTCAGAAACAACATCCGTTTCACCCCGGAATATAGGGGCGACGACACATTGTCACACGCGTATGCGCGATCAATGGGCACGAACCTTTCGGGAGCGAGACGAGCCGTCAGCTCGCCGACATGGTCCCATAAGGGGTGGACCCGGGGACAATGGTAGAAGGCGTGCGAAGCCGTTTCTTCGCGAGTTTGTGGCTCACCAAGTGTGGCATTCCCAGCCCCCTATGACACGGACGTTGTGCACATTCCCGCGTCCCCTCCACGAAGTGGAGGCTAGCGAGCGCTCGAGCGCCTTCCGATGGCCTTTGCAGAGAGGAAGTACGGACAATCGATAAAGGACAAGAGGGAAAATGTTATGTAGCACACATCTCCACCCTACCCTTCACGGACAACCTCCGTCGACGCAAAGTCTGCCCGGCAGCATTGACCTTTGCTTGTACTTCAGACCAATTTTTCTCCAGATGGAGGTCGGGTCCAAACAACACTCCATGAATGCGGACAGGACCGTCCGCCCAACCGAAGGGCCCTGGAAGATCCACCCCCTTCCAGGCACCTAACCGCAAGCCGGATGACTTGTCGCGGTCAATCTTGGCCCCTGTCACCTTTTCGTACCGATCAAGCGTGTTTGGTACCGCCTCAATGTCGCTGCGGGACGACACAAAAGCAGATACGTCATCGGCGTACGCAGAAACCCTGGCTCGAGCCCCTCCAGGAACGGCGATTCCGCGTAGGGCCGGACTGCACGCCCTGTCCCTCAGCCGGCGAAAGAGAGGCTCCAACGCCAAAGCATAAAGTAGGGGCGACAATGGACAACCCTGACGGACCGACCTAGACAGCGCAAAAGCGCCCGACAGCTTCCCGTTCACCTGTACCACAGCACTGGGGAAGCGATACAGGAGGCTAATCCAGCGGCCTGCAGGACACTATTGGACTCTACTTTGAACAATAAGAATGTATAATTACTCTCTAAGCTTAACAAAAGAATCCTGATGAAATCGATCATAAACGAAAATGACATCGGTCTTGCATCAAGGTTATTCGGCTGGCATTCTGTGTCATAACATAGCCAATGTACGTGATTGCTGGACGACCAACTCGTCTCATTCCATGGCTAGGTGTCCAAAACTGTAGATCAGTCACTAGTTGGTCTTTTGCTTTCCAGCAGTGTCCTTCCTGCACAATGAATTCTGTGTTCATGTAAAATTGTAGAAATATAAGAGATGGGTCCATAGAGATGTGATTTAGATGTTGTTAGTATAACTCTCAGCATCCAAGTGTAAATTCCTGCAAAAAAGTTAATCGATATTATGCAAACGACCTATACCACAGAATCTACATCATCTAGAAAATGCTGCCAACGATGTTGGACTGTTAATGGCTCTAAAACTGAACCAGCAAGGTTCAATACAAATTGTCTCAGGTGAATCAATAAAATATCTGTTAAATCTTTTACATACCTTGAAAGTGAAATAAATTCTACTAAAAAGGAAGTGAAGATTGACATAGTTAAAAGCCTGGGCCGACTTGAACAAAATGGATGCAACCTGGAAATCTGATCCACCAGACAATCTCAAGTGAAGAATCTTTCAAGTCGGTATAAAGGTGTTGTTAATGTATGGTGCCATTGCATGGATATTAACTAAAACCCTACAGTCTAAGCTCAAATGAGAATTAAAAAGGATTGAAAAATTGAAATAAATAAAAAAAACAAATACAATTTGCTCTTTGCAGTAAAAATCAAACAATTTTATTTGTATTGTATTTTTTTTTTTTTTTTTTTTTTTGTTATTACTGAACCTGAGGTGAACTTGCCTCAGTGGCCCAAAGATGGTGGACCATGAGAAAAAAAAAAAAAAAGTTCTCCAGAACAGCTCCTATATTTAGGTGATCAGAATTGGCAATAGATGATCCTGACCCTTCCATAGTCACCAGGAACAAACACCAGGCCGAAAGATAGATCAGGAAAAAAAAAAAAAAAGAAAAAAAAGAAGGTAAGAAGTGGGTGAGGAGAAAAAAAAAATAGACAGTGAGGAAATCTGTCATCACTGTAAAGTGGATGGAAGGACAAAAACCCAAGACAGGGGTCAAGCATTTCAGACTGATTTAACGTGGAGGAAATTGGGTGGGGGAGAGTTGAAGAAAGAAAAAAGTTCTAAAAGAAAAGTAAAAATCAAAATACTTTTGTCATTTCTTAGTAACTGAACTGAAAGAAGAAATTGTGAACTTTTCAGGAAAAAAAGGTATTATATATATATATATATATATATATATATATATATCTCAGTAGAAAAAGATTTACCTTGTTTTATATTTTTGCACACATTGGTGGAAAAATAAAGATGAATAGAAGAAAGCCTTTCAAATTCAATTGAGACATTTTTTTTTTCCATGCCCCTCTGGGGCTGATAAACAGTCTGTCTGTCTGGGTTTCTATCAACCTCCTCCTGCTGAAACCCAGCTGGAGCTGACAGATTTTTCTTAATATAAGAAAAACTGACAAAGGTTGAGATTCATATGGAAAGGAAAATGTTTTCAGGGAATGAAACAAAAAAAAAAGTTCTGAGTGAAGGGAAGAAAAAATTTCATTGAAAATAATATTTGAGCAAAAATTTAGAAATGTGTTTTCACAGATTCTATAAATCCAACCTTTGGTGTTTAAAAAATAAAAATTGATGGCCTAAATGTGTTTATTTTTCAAGAGATTGGGCTCCTTGGTAATGTGGAAAAGATTTCCTAGGATATTTTTGCCCATCCTCTAGGTCCCCCTAAAAGTCACAGGGCAAGTAGGGGCTGCAATGGGTTTTGCTGGAATAGCTTCAAGCAAAGAAAGGAGGGAAAGAAAAAAAAAAAAAGAGAATTGCTAAATCAGGTTTTGTTTCTTTTTCCGAGAAGAGCAGCAGCCAATCTTGAAGAGCTGTTGGTGGGCACTGAGAGAGACAGAGACAGAGTGAGAGTGAGAGTGAGACAGAGTGAGAGAGAGACAGAGTGAGAGTGAGACAGAGTGAGAGAGAGACAGAGTGAGAGTGAGACAGAGTGAGAGTGAGACAGAGTGAGAGTGAGACAGAGAGACAGAGTGAGAGAGTGAGTGAGACAGAGAGAGAGAGAGAGACAGAGAGAGAGAGAGAGGAGACAGACAGAGAGAGAGAGAGAGAGAGAGAGAGAGAGAGACAGAGAGAGAGAGAGACAGAGAGAGAGAGAGAGAGAGAGAGAGAGAGAGACAGAGAGAGAGAGAGACAGAGAGAGAGAGAGAGAGAGAGAGAGAGAGAGAGAGAGAGAGACAGAGAGAGGAGAGAGAGAGAGAGAGAGAGAGAGAGAGAGAGAGAGAGAGAGAGAGAGAGAGAGAGAGAGAGACAGAGAGAGAGAGAGAGAGAGAGAGAGAGAGAGAGAGAGAGAGAGAGAGAGAGACAGAGAGACAGAGAGAGAGAGAGAGAGAGAGAGAGAGAGAGAGAGAGAGAGAGAGACAGAGAGAGAGAGAGAGAGAGAGAGAGACAGAGAGAGAGAGAGAGAGAGAGAGAGAGAGAGAGAGAGAGAGAGAGAGAGAGAGAGAGTGAGGAGAGAGAGAGAGTGAGTGAGACAGAGAGAGAGAGTGAGTGAGACAGAGAGAGAGAGTGAGTGAGACAGAGAGAGAGAGAGTGAGAGAGAGAGAGAGAGAGAGAGTGAGAGATGTAAATAAAGAAAGAGACAAATAGATATTTAATGAAAAATTAGAGAAATGTTGAAAGTGAAAAGAAAAGATAAAAAGTTAAATATTTTTTTTTTTGTTGTTTCAAAAGTAACGAGGTTGGGATCACAGATAAGGCAGTCCAACTTTTTTCAATTTAGTTTTGAGCTGGACATTAATATTTAAAATCAATCAAAGTCAAAATAATTCTGAAGGAAGATTAGATTGGAAGAGAAAAAAGGGATTGAGGGGTGTCAGTGCCACTAACCATTTGTTTAGGGGTTTCAAAGAAAAGGGAAAAAAAATATATATTGAGAAGGGAAGAAGAAAAAAGCCCTGCAAGATGACTGCAGTTGGGAGACGGGTTTCAGTTGTCGTTAGGTTGGCCAGGGAAGTTCCAGCTATGGCTGCCTGGTGCTGTGGAGGGTGGAGAAGTGTGATTTGGTTCCCAGATGTGAGCCACCTCAAGACGATCATACATAGTGTCAGAGTTCTGAAAAAGATGAAAAATTCCACTTCAGGACTTTGTGCCTATGCGCGACAACTATAGTCAATTCTCATGACAACTTTTCACACAAAGAAAACTCAACAACACCAAAAGTTTCACTTATATAAGTTCTTAAAAAAAGGTAAAAAAAAAAGAAAAATGAAAGCATTCATTCATATGGACATGAGAAAGTTTATTTAATGACATTTCCAATAAAATTACTGTCTTACTCCGACACCAGGTGTCATGTCTACTTATTAGGTGGAGTCATAAATAATTTCCGCATTTCTTTTTTTAACCAACTTTATTCTTCAAAAGCTAAAGTAAAATTTCATTTTATTCAACTATATATTCACCATTATTTGTAATGACTTGCTGTGACTTATCAAGCAACTCTTTGATATCTTTTGAGTAAAATTCTGCAATTTTTGATGTGAAGAGTTTTTGATGAACTCTTGAATCTGGTTTTCATTAGAGAAATCCCCACCCCCATCCAAATATTTTGCAGCAATTGAAAAAATAAAAAAAAAATAAATAAATAATCAGTTGTTGAAAGGTCAGGGGAATATGGTAAGTGGGGTAGAATACAGAGTTCCAAAGTTTTTGTAAACCCTCTGTTATTCTTGCATTTGTGGTGCTGTATTGGCATGGAGGAGAACATTGTTCTATTAACCCTTTAGCATTCAATGCACTCAAACCTTCCCATGTAAAGATCAGCTCTCAATGTTCAATCCATCATAACTGTGTCATAATATGACAGCATCATCACAAATAACACAAGAAGTCACACATTGAGATATCTGACCACATGGTATTTCCACCATCTTTTTTTTTTGTTTGATTAGCAAAGAAAATACATCTTTTTTTTTTTTGATGATGAGAAATAAAGCATCAAAATAAAATGGGGTCTAGCAATTCAGGGCGATCATTTGAGGGATGTACAGTCCACGTTATTCTAGATTCCGAGGAAAAAAAAAAAAAAAAAAAAAAAATAAATGAAAAAATAAATGCAAGATGAATCAAATATCAATATTTAAGATATTAATAGTGACGAACTGACTTATTCAGATGAGGATTATGATGATGATGACATGCGTGTTAGAACTTAAGTAGGCACATGATGTCAATTTGATAGCATTTTTGGAACACAATGGACATACACATTCATTGCCAAAGGGTGCCAGGTAAGTTTTTGTTAGATTCTCTTTATGAAACTCTGGCAACAGAAATAGTGTGAATGCATGGATAGATAGATAGATAGATAGATAGAGAGAGAGAGAGAAATGTGGAATCTGAATGCTAAAGGGTTAATCCGCTATGTACATAGCCGATACTATGCAAAAACCAAGCTATATTAGTGCATTCCAAACTTATTAATTGCCATATATGATTAATAGTTTGGATGATACATTCACCATTACATTTGGTTCCTCAAAATTAAAATCACTTCGACGTAACCTTATATTGAAGCATTGCATCATTATCTTTGTTGTAATTATCAATATTATTTTTTTATTAACTTTATCCTCTGGCCTTAAAGTATTTTCATTAGGGTTAAGGCCAGTTATGGGGAGGAGGTGAAAAATTTTTAAAAAGATGAAAATTTTCGTTTTTACTCAAATATCCAATATTTAGATAACTGGAAAAGATATATGGGTGAATAAAATAAAATTTTCTATCAAGTGAAAGCTTAAAATAGTTAAATATCTGGATTCTACAGTTCTTATTTGCCCTACATACCAAATTTAAGAAATATTGAAGGTATGAAAGTATTTTTCTTCAATTTAAAAAACAAAAAAAAAACACACAAAAAAAAAAAACAACACTGAAATTCAGCGACATTGTGCGGTCTTAATTTAGAGACAAAATAGGAAGATTATACACCACCTCTTAAAATTGGAACGGTAAGATCTAGCACAAAATAATTTGGCACACTTTCCTAACTCATGAAGGGGAACATTTGTGCCAAATTTCTAGTGATTCGGAATTGGTGGGTGTAATGCCCAGAGTGCATTTGTGGGAAAAAAAAGACATACATGTGCTAGGCTTTGACAGGACCAGCCAATTGGATCGAGCCTATCTGACTGCCTGTCTAGCCCAAGTAAGAATCAAAGTGGTGTGTTGGGAATCAGGAGTAACTATACCCAACTCCTGAAACCCTCAGCCACCAAGATCCCATCCCTCAGACATCACGGCAAACAGGTGGCAACATTGGGGGCGGGTGGGGGTGTACCTCTCTGCAGAGGTGCAGTCGGCATATTTGAAAGCCCCAGCTGACTGGGTGGATAAACTGATTTCAACATTTAAATAATGCAACTTAAAATTATCTTTTCTAAAGATTAAAATAGCTTATAAGAATTTTGTTTTTATTATTAAACAACTTATTTTATATTCTTTTATTTTTCTAATAAATTTCATTTAAAAAAAAAAAAAAAAAAAAAAACGTGCATTTTATATGAATAAAGATAGATACTTACATAAATAGAAGTAGGTATGGAGGATGTTCTCCACAAGGGTGAAACTAGAGAGCTGTTGAAAACCCAACGATTCTCTGAAATGGGCGGAGACGGGACAGGTGGGTAATTAAGCCAACTGTCTCCTGCTGATGGAAAGGTGAAAAGAAAAGAAAAAAAAAAAAAAAAAAAAAAAAAGTCAGATATTATATTAAATTAAAGAAGAAAAAAAAAGAAAAAAAATAACAAGAGATAAGTAAAATAGGTAAATACATACCAGAGGTGACTTTTTCTTCTTGCTTGTATTGACGTCGAGGTGCATTGTCCATGAGGCTGAATAAGTTCATATCTGAAAAAAGGGGAAATAATTAGGTTTACCAAGATGCAAATCAAAGACTAGCTAAAAGATCTACCATATTTTCTTGCATATAATACAACCCCATGTTTCTGAAGCTAAAAACGGAATAAATTACATCCTTGAGTACAGGGTACGATAGATAAATTGTTATCTAAATTGCACAAAACTGAAAACAACACTGACATCTCATTTTAACAGATATATTTACCAAAATTACACAAAAATATCTTGAAATAATAAAGAGTAAATTTATTCAATCAAACTGCCATTAGCTTCAATCATGTCCTCTAAACAACTTTGGAATCTCCTACAACACTTCTGTACAGTTTCCTTAAGTTGGTGAATGTTGCCATAATCCTTATCTTCAGTTCATCTTTGGTGCTGCAAGGAGTTTTGTTGGTCTCTCTATCAACTGCACCTCACACATAATAATCAAGAAGGTTGCAGGCTGGGGAGTTAGGTGACCAGGTGATGTGATGTGGTCATAGAAATTGTTTCACAGTCATGACTGGGTTCTCCTGCTTGTGTGGCATAATGCAGAGTCCTGTTACCAGACAGAGTCTTCCAGCAGTAACTCACTTGACTCAGAACAGCACTACCTCCTCAATAAACTTGATGTAGGCTTCAATGTTGAGTGAGACACTGTGGGAAGATGAATGAAGGCATAACATTGCCATCCTTAGTGATCACTCGAAACACCATGATGTTGATTGGATATATCATCCAACTCTTTCCAAATACTCTGTACTGTCCTCAGATTGATATCCAAACATTCTGAAATGTTTGTATTGGAGATTCTGGTGCAATACCACACAGTACGGCATATTGTTTCAAAATTTCCGGTGGTGTGAATTCTTCTCACAGATGGCCCTACTGTACTGTGCAGTCGACAAAAAAAAAAAAAAAAAAAACAATGTGCAAGCACAAAATTAAATATCAAATGGCGAAAATTTAACCATTGCACTCCATAGTAGAGCGATCTCCATGTGTTTTTTTTTTGTCTACTTTGTGTCAATAAAGGAATATGAAACAACCACCACTTCACAGAATGGGAATTATTGCACCATTTTCTCACGCCTTTGGCTGGAATGAAGGTGTAGTGTCTGTTCTCATTTTAGATGAGAGAAGGCACCTGGTTCCAAGGATTCTAAACCAGTGGCAACACCTTCCTCATTACACTAAGAGAGGTTGGGTCAGTATAATATTGACACCAACATTACAGTGGACTAGTAAAAAAAAAAAAAAAAAATTGATTTTTTTTTTTTTAAACAACTCATAAGCAACTGTCCTGAAATTTTGTGTATAATATGACCCAGTGTTTTCTGAAGTTAACAGGGGAATAAATTATGTCCCACATAGTACAGCCATCTGTAAGTAAATTCTTTTTGAAAAATTGTAACAAATTATCTATTAAAATCTCAATGTTGTAAATATATTTCAATAAAAGACTTCATTTTTCATGCTATTAAATAATAGAAATGAACCGGATATTAAGCCATTGCATGTTTCTTGTAATTTCCGTTTCAAAACTTATTTTCAAATTTTCTGAGAATGGTGCTAACTAGACATATATTGGAAGACATTCTAAGGTCTTTATTAATCTCTTATACTTTTCTGTTTGATATATGACTTTATTAGATTTCATAATTGATGAAAATAAAAAAAATATTATCTTTTCATTAAGAATGAAGAGAGACACAAATATGGCTGATATATCAAATACCTTTTGTAAAGGATTGCTACCAACAAGTTACTTACTTGGTGTTTTATTATCTATTCTGCTGAGTGCATTTGTAATCTTGCTATTTCAAAGCTGAGTAAAAATTTAGTAAAATGTGTATTTGTGTATAATACGATCCCCCCCCCCGACTTTTTACCTTTAATTTTTGTTCAAGTTATCTCAAATTATGCACAGGAAAATACAGTAATACAAATATTCATAATAGAATTTAAAGAGTTAGATTAAAAAGTCACAAAATTTCAGCTGAAGGCCTGAACAATTTCTAAATTATTTAAATGTTTCCTGATTTCTGACATTTTTATGTATAGAACAAATCAAATTTGTAAACTAAAAAAAACTTTTTTTCTTATTGTGGTTCATATAAAAAAAAAAAAAAAAATCCATTACAGGTCCCCCCCAAATATTTCTTCAAAATTAAAAAAATATTAAAACACTAATTTTGCTTGCTTAACACGTAGACAGCCATGTCACTATATCTTGGCGACATGGCAATTTCAGCTTACGCCATGTCTCCAGATACCAATGACTGTTATATTTTCATAATAAGTTGGTGACACTATGCATATTTCTATATAAAGTCATGTCTGTATATTCTGGAGAAAATTTGGTAAAATACATGACACACAGCTTCATTTAACTTTAACTTGAAGGCTTTAGCAATGTTGAGTAGGTAGAAAAAACAAAGCCCAAGGAAAATATTTATTGATTTATTATTTTTAATATTTATGATATTTCAGTATATATTTGACAGACCAATTATAAAAACAAAGGTCATGTTACCCTACTAATATAATATATGGTGACCATGAACCAATGGACCCATAAAATGTGTTAACCACATAACCAACATAACTAATGTGTTAACATAACTAATGTGTTAACCACATAACTAATGTGTTAACCACATAACTAATGTGTTAACCACATAACTAATGTGTTAACCACATAACTAATGTGTTAACCACATAACTAATGTGTTAACCACATAACTAATGTGTTAACCACATAACTAATGTGTTAACCAATTCTTAATGTGTTAACCACATAACTAATGTGTTAACCATAATAACTAATGTGTTAACCACATTCACTAATATGTTTAACCACATAACTAACATGTTCCATTAAAATTTTTAACCACATACTAATATAACCACATAACATGTAATTCTTTATTTGCCATGAAGCATGTAATTGTAAGAAAATAACATAATTAAATTAAACTGTTCAGTTACTTTCTTAATAGAAATTACCGAAATAAAATTATCAAAAAAATCAATTAAGGCTTCCAAACAAAACAGAAATATTCTTCTAATGTATGAAACAAAAAAGAATTACAGAATTCCCATGGTTTTTTTATTTTTTTTAATTACAATATTTACAAGCTTTCCCATATCTTAAAAGATTTCCAATATTTAAAACTCGACCAACAATGAAAAAAAAAAATTCAGTTAGAACCTACTTCACGCTAGGTGTCAGCCGCACCAATCTACACGCACACACACTCTTAACATCGACTGGCATGCATGATTCATCATCTCACCAAGGGAATATCACATGCAATAAACCCTGATACCAAGTCTGTAGGCATATCATCACTAATAGTAATTTCACCTCCACCCCCAGCACTCATGTAATATTCAAACCACCGGCTCTGAATTATGACAGTTCAAATCTTATATATTTGCTTTTTCTGCCAAAAATGCAAAAAAGAAAATTATGTTGAAGAATCTGGAATGGAATTCCATCTTCAGTTCAATAACCATAAAAGAAAAAAAGAAAAAAAAAGAAAAATAAGCATCAGAGACAAAAACAATAATTTCCTGGGTTGCTGCACACTCCAACCAACCATTTCCTAGCATCAATGATATCAGACGTGTGCTCTTAGTGGTGGTCTTCATTCAACAGATACAGATCAATGTTGAAATTTATTTTCAAAATAAATTCACAAAAAAATAAAAAAAATTAGGTATGGCTTAAATTTATCCTGAATTAAATTTATCCTAGACAAGGTCATTTGTGGCAAACATTAAATTGTAAGCAAGTGGCAACATTGTATCATAATTGTTGACAAATATAAATTGTTCAATTTTCCATAAGAAGCTAAGGGAAGGAGATAGGAAGATAATCAAACGTATAGCTAATTGTAACAGATTTTGTAGTTGATAAAGGCTTCTTCAAGAACAAAGTGAATACAACTTAACCATTTTTTTATGGTTAATTTTGAGTTTAGCATAGGTCTGACATTTAATTGGTTAATCAGGGTAAATCCACAAGACTTATTTTAATTCTGATCTTATTTTCTTGTCTTCTCTTTCGAACATCGTCAAAAGAGGCACAACTTGGTGTCAAAACATGAAAGCTATTGTGTAGTGATTTTTAATGTTTTGTTTTAATCTCCTATAATATAAATTACAAACATTGTTGGTTGGTTGGGTTTTATGGCATATCAACCACTGTAGGTCATTTAATGCCAAGTTTAGTTAGACATTATATATATATATTAAATAAATAGTGCTAGTAAACGTATAGCTGGCAACATTATTTTATTTCAAAAACGTATAACTGGCAACATTATTTTTGAATGTAGTTTATTGCTATACCCGGGACGCGGATGTAGTTTATCGCCATACCCAGGACGTACAAACATTGTGTCTACTTATTTTGATCATAATTCTTTCATATTCATAAATATATGAAAGGATTAGGATCAAAATAAGCAGGCATGACATTTGTAATTTATTCAATCAGACATACCTAAAAGTGAATTTGCTGCCTAAATACACATATGTGTGTGTGTGTGTGTGTGTGTGTGTGTGTGTGTGTGATTTAAAAAATCCCATAAAGAATATTATGCACTCAAGAAAGTAGCCATCACCACTGATTGGTAACATGGTTTGTAGGGGTTAAGAAAACAACTTTAGCTGCCATTTTTGCAAAAAAGAGTTAGTGCACTAAAAATCTTTCAATTATATCTAACATTTTCTTTCCCAAAATATTTTTAAAACAATATAGTGGTCACACATGACCATATACAGATTTGGGGCTGACATGTTAAACTTTAAATTGCAATTTTGCTTCTTTTATTTTTTTGTAAGAAGTTCTGAAATAATGAGAGTTAAGTCAATTGCAGTAAAGAAAAGTGACATGGAATCAAAGCAATTGTTGATAAATAATATATATATATATATTTTGAGCTCTTCTCAAATTAAAAGGGCAACTAAGTTTTATTTTACGCAATTTTTATTTACTTCAACATTGAACTGAAAAGAAGGGGAAAAAGAAAACCTGAAAGAGTTTACATTAAAAATTAAATATTCAATCCATTCTTTTGGACTTGTATCTATGACAGTTGGAGATCAAAGTGTAGTATCTGCTTACATTCTCTCTCTCAATAGAATAGCGCAGGAAACTTAAGCTGTGATATCAAATTTTATAATATTAAATTAAATAAAGGGTAGAAGGCTTAGTTTTGGTGGTGGGGAGAAAAATGCCTGAGTTTCCAGGACCTATTTTATGTTTGTTTGTTTGGGTTTTATGGCATATCAACCACTGTGGGTTATTTAATGCCGAATCCAGTTTATATGAATTTTAAATGCCTATTTTCCTATTTTATGATCAAAATGGTTATTTTTCAAATTGTCACATTGCTGTTGGCTTGCTCCGGATGATCTTTATACAGGAGAAAAAGGAACAAAAATAATTTCTTACCAGTTGAAGTTGAAGTTGACATTGGGCCAGCTGGTGCAGAAAATGGATGAGGAGAAGGAGGCTGGTTGTCCATTGCCAAAGGAGAAGGAGGGTCAATCACTGGAGATGAAGGCAGGCGGCAGTTTTGAAGGGAAATCCTAAAATAGCTGCATTGAAAAGAAAAAGGAAAAAAATTGCATCAAGGAAGTAAACAAAAAAAAGAAATAAAAAACAATAAAAAAAAAAACACTTGACAGTTATAAATCCCTTGGTACATTTTAGTTTTTAATTGTTAGCCTAAAATTTTGTTCACAAAAAAAAACAAAAAAAAACATTGCAGGCATGAATAGTTTGAACTTAATTCCTCATTGACTTTGAACTGTGCAATCAGTAATGAAGTCTAGCTCAATGGCTTGCAAGATCAGCATGCTAACCAATGTACAATGAGTAAATGCAGTAAAGCAACACAATTAGCATATTGACAAATGATAGAAAACACTCTTAAGACAGCTTATTTGGTGTAATTTCCTTAAACGAGTCATAAAAAAAAAAATAAATAAAAATAGAAGCTCATCAAGGCTTAGTCAATAATGATAAGAACTAAATCAAAAATTACTTACGGCTGGTCAAAGGGATTGTTAGTAGTTGCTACAGGCAGAGAGAAGGAAGGCTGTTGGCATGTGCGTGTGGAAAAGGGGGCTAAAAAGATCAAGAAAAAAAAGAAAAAAAAAATCAAATATAGTGAAGAAGCATTTTCTGTATTTTGAATAAAAGAAGAAAAAAGACTGACAAATTGGAGACAAGACAGAGACAAAAAATAAAAAACAAAACAGTAAAAATTCTGAAAAATATGAAACAACGAACATTAAAATTTATTTACATTTTAGCACAGCAGCATCAACTTTGTTGTTATCTCTAATTCCAATGCAACTTGCAAACCAGAAGAGTACAATTTTATTTTATTTAGATATTGTAGAGATTTGTCTAATATTTTGGCAATTAAGGGATTTTGTGTTTATTTTTTATGGATAGTGAATCTGACAAGAGTTGTTCTGGGATATAATGCCTATATCTAAGGTCTAAGGTCAATTACACTTAATTCAGCACTAAATACAGACACTTCTTTTAGGAGCTGCCTTTTTGTAAATTGTATTTGTTAAAATGTGGCTGCACATCTAGTCCTCTTATTATCACTGGAAACATCTGTGTAAATTTCAGTGTGGTTCTGGTAACAGTGTGATATTATCATTGGGTTAATAGATTTTTTTCATTTTTGCTTAAAATTTAGAAGTAATGAGGTTGTCTGATAGTTCAAGGGAACTTGTCTGATAGAATTCTGGCTTGTAATGTTTCCAATGGTTATATCTGATTCTTGAAGTAGAATTTCCTATTTTGAGTCCAAAAGTTTTCATTGTTTTCTATTAAAAAGTAAAATGTACCTAAGGCTTTAAGGTGAACTTGTAGTTTGGGATGGATGGGCAAGATTTAAGTTTTGTTACATATTGGAGGGCTAATTTTTCACTTTTATGATCTTGGATGTTTCATCAGCTTCTGTATGTAAATTCTCCTTAGGAGATATCTTAAAAGTCCCAAAGTCTTAGTTGTTCATGTTCAATTGTGCCTAGTCTTTCTTTTTAGATATGATGGTCTGGCTGATCTATGTATTATTTGTAATGTTTGCCTATCAGCTCCCTAATCTGTATGCGCTATCACACTGTAGAAACTGTAAATCCTTGTTGCATTTTTAAGTATTTTAACAGAGAGATAAATGTTAGCTTTTTGTTGAATATCATTCCAAGGAATTTGTATTTGTTAACAAATGGTATTTCAGTTCTGCCCAATTTGAGAACTGGGGCTTGTAGTTTAAATTCAAGAGACTGGCCTAAATTCCTTAGTAGGCGCTAATCCTGAGTGACAAAGTGTAGATGTTGTATTTGTCGTATTGTCTCGTTGTCTTTCGTACACTGCACATTTATATTCTCTCAAATCTCATGGTCGCCGTGATTTTGTGTTAATTTGTCAGCGCAAAAACAATATGGCTTCCCCACCAGATTCTTTTTACGTACAGATGTCCATGAGATAAGTTTTTTTTTTTCAAACTACAGAGCTCAGTGCATTTTCTTCACTTGAAAGAAGTGTATACATTTCATTTTTTAGAATCTAAATCCATTTTCTATTGTCCACTGGTTTATTTTACTTGAGTGTTGCTATTGAAGTTGTCGCTCCATTGAATGCTTTGATCTATGACAGATCAGAAAATCATCAATATATAAGCAGTCAACTCCAGGGTTAAGGCATTTGACAAATGTGCTGTTTATCTTAATACTAAATAATGTGACTGCATACTTCCTTATGGTATTCTTTCTTGCTTTCAGAATTCTGACAGGATAGATCCTACATGGATCTTAAAACTCCAGTACAATGCAAAGTTATTTATGAACCTTGGTAACTGGCCTCTTAACCTGAAGTCTCTTATTTTGAATGTTCATTTGGTATCAAACAAACATTAGATGTTCTTTTTTGTTTTCTTATTGCTATAAACATTTTCAGTGGGTACACATATTTCAGTTGATATTTTCTGTTTATTTTTTTGTTTTTTATACTGTTTAGATTTCAGTTGTGAAACTGATGCTAGCCAATATAAATTTATGGAAGTTCCAACAACAAAATGTGCACTTCTTAAATAGTTAATTAAAATCTTGCTCTATCAAAATGGCTCTGTAGCTGAACTGGTAGCAACACATTTTGGCTATAGAAGACGTTTCCCTGATGAAAAAAAAAGATACAGGTTCGATTCTTGTTGAAGGCATAATCTTTCTTTAGTAAGACTTCTGTTATAATTTTCACTAAGGAAAAAAAAAAAAAAAAAAAAAAAGGATTGCAACTCAAATACCTGTACTTGCTAAAAATAATGTTTATAATAATAAAAATAACAATGGATAAAAAAATCCACTCAAAAATTAGTGTTGTGTATGTAATTATGGATGCTGAAGCATTCATCAAAAGTCTCATGATGGGATTCTGGGATGAAATCTATCAATGAACTACTCAACATTAACAAGCTTAAGCCAATCACATCAGTTATCAAGTCGAGTACTTTGACTGTATAGTCATATCAAAAGTAAGAGAAGCAGAGGTCGACAGCCATAACATTGGCTTGATAATGTCCACTTATGGATTGGATTTGACAGTTACTCTGAATTCTGCTATTGGTGATCAAAATTTGTAGAGAAGAATATCTCATGCTGATGTGCAGTCTGCAACAAATTGAGTAAATGGCTGATATATATATTTTTTTGTTTTTGTTTTTAGAAAGCTCTCTTGCAGACATTAACAACAGGGACTAGTGAGGTAAATAACAAGTGTAATTTGTTAATACTTGATTTTAGGCCAAACAATTCTACTATATTGTCGTGTAGGCTATATTACTTTCTTAGGGCATTTTTTTTTTTTTTTTGAGATTAGGAGCTGTTTTCTGTTTCTATCTTGTCATCTTCTCGTAAGATGTGTGTTAAATTTATGTTAGATGTTTCTGGTAAAAACATGCAATGATAACAGCAAAAAAAATTGCAATATGAGCACTGGTAAAAATAGTTATTGAAGACATTAGGTTTATAATACCCAGAAATTCATACAAAGATGTCCTCAAGGACACATGGCACAGTGGATAAATGCATTGGTTAGATCCAGTGACTGGACCCAAAGCGAGTTCAATACTCAGTTAAGGCATTAACAGGAGATAACTAATAACTGACATCCATTAAACATGGCATGTGGAACTAGAACAGTCTACCGCAGTGAGCGAAATAAAGGGTTAAGTTTGACATTCCAATGACCTGAAGAAGGCCGGAGTGTAATAAATATGGCGTCAAAGATGAGGACAATAGTCCGAATAATGTAAATAATGTTGTTTAGTCTTTTCTGATTTGCAAATTCTTTTGCTTCTGATTGTATGGTCTTGTTTATTGGCTGATCTTCCCTCATCTTTCTCATTTTTGGGATCTTTCGATTGGTATGTTTTTTGCATTTTTGGTTCCTTGAGTCTAGGATAACTTGATCTCTGCTTGGGGGATTTGGGGAGTATCTTTAAGTTTTCTTAGCTGGAAAGTTGATGGCGGCACGGCAGCATTTGCTGTTTTTTTGATGGGTATTACAATGGGAAGAGGTTGTGGATAGCAAGTTGTTTTAGTTTGTTTTATAGGAGCCTGTAAATCAGTCAGAAGGGCCTTTATTTCTTCCAATTTAATTTTTTGTAGTCAGTCAAGAATTTGATTGCACTTTTAGCACTACAGGGCTCAATGTTGCTTTTGTTATGGTCAAATAGGCCAGAGTTGGGAAAGTGGTCTTTACAAAAGTCTTTTGCGCAGTTCACACATTTCTGTTGTCCATGTGCACATTCCATATGGTCAGAAATATCCTCTCCACACTATTTAAACACTGTCTTCATTGTGTACTATGTTTTGTGGTATGGCACTAGAGTAAAATGGGTACCAATATTCAGTACTGTGTAACCAACTGTGACATTCAAACTCTCGCCAAGACTCAATGTATACATTGGTTCCTATAGTTTGACCATTTTTTTTTTTTTTTTTTTTATTTAAATTCTTCTGACCAATACTTTTAGCCTTTTAGGTTATTCTAGATTTCTACCAGCTTGCAAACAGTTCTAGACTTTTCAGCATTCCTCTGGATGTGTTGAAGAATCTAGGTTGGTATGCTTTGATTTTCAAGTGTCAGAGAGGGTTTATAGGAACAACTCTGTATAGCTCCTTTTTAATACTTCCACAATTAACATGTTCTTTGTACCGATTTCATTGCCACATAAGTTGAAAAAGTTTTCTCTCACAAAGTAGGACACATTCATAAGTTTTTCTTCTATAGAATCTACGATTATAAAACCTGGAAAAAGGGGATAGATACTTTTTTGGTGTCATGGTGTTGGTCTCAACAGGAAGACATGACCAAGGAGGAAACCCATTCACCTTGGGTATGATAAGGGTACACAATATCCTCATATTGAGCTGGTCAGAGGATTATCCAGTATTGTCACAATCTTTTGCCTCTTGATACAATTCACCCCCCACCCCAGTCACTGCCTTCTGAAGGATGGGGGTGGCCATGTTGTAGAAAGGGTTTTTTCCTGAATTAAAGCTCAACATGACCCACCAGTTATTTGGATCAGACCCTCTCCAACCACCTGTTTAACCCAAGTAAGGGTAAAAGTGGTGTGTTGGAGTTTAATATGTTGCCCTCAACCATCAGGATCCTATCCTCGGGCATTACAGATTGCCATCTATGGGAAACAGGTGGCCTCATGGGGAGGCCATTTACCCCTCTGCAAAAGCGCAATCAGCATATTCTGCCACTCAACTGACAGTGAAAAAAATTATAACCTTACCTGATAATCCATGATCGGCAAAAAGATTAAAATCCGTCCAATTCTCAGGAGCTGTGGGTGCAGCAGTAGTCATGGGGGTGTTGGTACATGGCTTAGTGGGTGTCTTGCGGGCTGCCATAGAGTGAGTGGCATTCAGCAGATTTGCATTGCTGGAAGTATCCAGATTATTGTTACTGACCACACTGCTGTAGCTGCTTGAACGGCTGCCGACTGAACTGGACGCTGAGAGAGGAGCTGAAGGAGGCGGAGGTGGTGGAGACAACTCAGTACTGCTCAAGAAGTTGAGGGGAGCCTGGATTGGGGACGAAGAGTATGGACGACTATGTTGGAGGGCAAAGTTCTCTGTTTGGCTAGCTAAATCACTGAGGTCTCCTGAAAGAATCAATAGCAACAATTTATTTATGCTAAAAAAGTGAAGGAAAAAAGTATTTGTAAATTTTAAAAATGGACATAATTATTGCCAAATTTGTCATGTTAATGCTGGATTTTAACAAGATATCCTGGTCAAAATATTTTCTACTATGTGCAATCATCTCTCTAGCATGATTTGTTTCAGATCCAAGAAGGTATTTACCCTATCTCCCCACCGAGACAAGATCGGGTTTAATGTGGGGAACCCAAGCACGTACACACTGGTCAAAGTCAAAAATTGCCCAGCCCCTGCAACTGTTGGTTTTACTGGCATCGTTATGACTAAAGATAATCTCTAGTGCAATGAGGTGGAGTACAGCCATGGGCAGCTGTTCCCCTGGGATCGGGTACCTCTCAGTATTTCTTACCCTACAAGCTGCCTCACTGTCTAGAGTTAACCAAGTTGTATTCTGCCTGAAGACAGAGAGACAACTACCCAAATATCTGTTACAGTTAGAATGGTTTGGTTTTTCATGTTTAACGGCACATCGACCTTCTGTAGATCATATTAACACCGAAAAAAAAAAGAAAAAAAATTTTTTTTTTTTTTTTTTTTGATTGTTGAGAGATTTTTTGCGTAAAACTTGACCTGTTTTATTGAAGTGTTATAGTTAAGAGTTCAACTAGACAAGACTTAAAGAAAGAAAGAAAAATACTGTTGGATATCAAAAGAAGATACACAGGCCAGGAAGAAGATTAAATGTTAACTGGAAAACTAAAAAAAAGTCACATACCACTTGGTGACACATGAGGAGTGTCCCAGAGATCTTTATATTTGCCCATATTGTCATTCTCAGCTGGACGGGAAGCAGCACCATCAGCTAGGAGTAAAAAAAATTCTTTTGTTTTTATTTATGTTCATTTTAAGAAATTATTCTCATGATTATAATAATTTGCTTCCTTACAGTCTTCTAATTACACAAACTTTTTTCCTCCTGTGTATTTGGGAATTAAAAATCATATCTTCAGATCATAAAATGGATAAACATTTCTTAAAACTTAAAAGCAAAATAAAGAAATAAATATGGTTTATTCCTGCTTGCATTTCTGCTAAGTACACTGAAATTTATCTCAATATTGACTTGAAGACAAGCACAGTTTATATCTACCTTGTTTTATTCTTCTCATTTGGATAAATCATAATGTTTAATGATGACATACATCCCATTTGTACCACATTTCATTGTAGTGATAGTAAAAGAGTGCTAAAAAGACTATAGTAAAAGCTGAATCATTAAAATTGCAAGTAAATTTAATATAAGAAAATTAAAAAAAAAAAAAAAAAAAAGAAGCATACCATGATGAAAAAAAATTACCCTAAACATGATAAAAACAAAGTTTTATTGTCAAAATGTTTGTTATTATTAAGAGGAAAAACCAATGTATTTTTGAATTATTTTATTAAATTTTTGAATCCTTTCTAGCATGTTTGAAACTATGGTTAAAAACTTTATTATTCTTGCATCAGCAGGTGGACTAAAGATTAGCATAGGAATTTTTAGCATCTTTTTTATCATGAAAAACATTTTCAGAAATTATTGCAAAAATCAAATAATTCTCAGATTTTAATTAAATTTTCAGGATTTATTCACAAATAAATGAAATTATTTTGAAATTTTCTTCCTTTGAAAATCTTTTAATTGCTTTTATAAATATATTAAGGACATTATTCTCTTGAGGAATTTTTTTTTTGATGAATAATGAATTTTTACAACTGTTTTAATTTAAAAAATTTATTAATTTTTAAATATTAAAATTCTGCATTAATTTCAGCCTTTTAGATGATATTATTAAGTGTAAACTATATTTACTAATCATAAATAGAAAAGTTTAATACACAGCATCAAACACCATTTTTGTAAGTACAAGTGACCATACATGACATTATCAGAAAATAAGAGCAATAACTATAGTAAATTGAAAGTCAATATTTCTAAAATTTAATAAAATATTAGATAATGAGTAATATTTCCCTAAATCTTTATGATTACTGAATACTTAAAAATAGGAAAAAAAGCTTAGGAACTTTTTTTTTTGTTTTTAGGTACCTAGTTTTAATTGCAAAATCCCTTGTCATCATTCCAAAACATAATGAACAAATTTTAAAATGGGAGCATATCATTGGACAAACTGAAAGAGAGAGAGGAGTCAGTGTCAGATTGCATCTAAATTGAGAGTTCCACTCTTGACTAAAATATGTGAGATTGTACTATTTACCAAAGAAGGAAAAGAAACCACTGCATCAATAAACTCAGTGTGTGTGTGTGTGTGTGTGTATATAAAATTAAACCTGCAGTGACCAACCACAAATAACAGTCCCATAAGGTTTCACAAACATTTTTTTCTTCTTTTTAAATGGTCACTTTATACTCCTCAAGCAAGACCAAGATGTGAGCATACCATACACACATCATCTAAACTCACCAAAGGGGAAAGGGAGAAAAAGGCCCAGCTGGCCAGGATGAATAAGCTGCAAATTCACAATTATTTTCAAAAAACAAACATCACAAGCAAAGGCATGATACCATGGGAAATAGTGGAGCAAAGCACTACAGAATGCAAAGGCCAGGGCCAGAATAGTCAGTGAATGGCCAGAGTGCCTCATAGGCATTCTGACAGTGATGGATTGCCTTTGTCTGGGTACTGAAGTCCAAAATAGTGTGAAATGAACAGAGGGTCTCAAGAATTCTGAAGTGTCAATATACCTCCCACACCCAGGTTTGCGAATGGCTAATACCATCTGTGGAGGGACGCTGAGCCAATGTGTGACATGCATTCCAGTAATGTCAGTCCTCCTATTGCCCCTTAGAATCCATACTGCCACTCTTAATAAAACAAATACCAAAAATAAATGACTTTTTGTTGATACTGTTTTATGAAGATTGTGGGGATCCTGAGACAACACACAATGCAACAAAAAGAAGTTATTACTAAAAGCAAAATACTGCCCAACAATACCAGGTTCTCTAATGGCAGAGCATATAATATAAATAAAAGCAGCAGTTCTTAAGAGTCTTTGGAGGCACACTGGAAAAAAAGAGCTCAATACCATGATAAATACATCCTAATTAAATTTCTAGTGAGCAGTGGCCAAACATGACTAACATTTTCATACATTTTCTCACAATCATCGCATGGTCACACACACACATTTTGTTCCTCACAGGTAGCACAAGTTACATGCATGATACATATAAATTTCATCTCTTATACATAGAGCTCTCTTATTACCAGCAGCATTCATTGTGTCTACATAACAGCAGGGGTTTGAAATCAGAGTTTTCATTCTCATAGATGGACTGTCTTCATCCGTATCTTAGGAGCTTCGTCTGCCGCATAATTTATTTTTTGTTTTAATATTTCCATTAAAACTGTTTTTCTTCACATCAAACCAGTAAAGTGTGAACATTTTATTCATTCTTCTCTGAAACAATGTTGGAATATGTCCAATAAAACTGCCACTTCATACACAACTGGTAATGTCTAATAACATCTTTTTAGATCTTGTTAAGGGAAAGCAACATATGTCAAAGAAGCAATTATAAAGATGGCCTGAAAGAGTATTGGGGGGGGGATTTGCAAACATCTGTGCACACACACACAGAGTTCCAAGCAAAATGATGGCACTACCTGACAGAAGGTCCATGATGGTAAAAAGTTGCAGGAAAGAGTTTTTCAAAGTGCAAAAAGAATAGCTAAAGTGTCCCCCAAAAAGTTATGATGTGGAATTTCCAAATCACATAAGTAATAGGTAGGACCTTACCTGTAATATTTGTGATAGGATTTGCTTGTGTAAAGCAAGAAAATGGAGTCATATACAAAGTCATTGTACCAGAGCTGTGACCAACTATGAAATGATATTAAATACCACTTTATCCACTGTTTCACGACACACGGCACAGTGGATAAAGGTGTTAGATCCAGTGACAGGACCCAAAGAGTGTGAGTTCAATATCCGGTTAAGGCAGTGGAGAACTTTCAGACAGAAAATTAACAGGAGATAACTGATAACTGACATCCATTAAACATGGCATGGTGAACTAGAACAGTCTACCCCAGTGAGCGAAATAAAGGGTTCAGTTCAACATTCCAACGACCTGAAGAAGGCCGAAGCATACAATGGCCGAAACATTGTAATAAATATGGCGACAAAGATGAGGACAATAGTCCCAATAATGTAAATAATGTACATAATATCTCATCTCAGAAATATAGACATATATCAAACTTGATATATAAAAATAATTTATTTCTCGTGTGTGTCTGAAACATTTATTTCCTCATTGAATCATGCCGTTATAAATAAAAGCATCAGTGAATTCTTATAATCAGGATATCATTGTTGCTTTAGCATACTGTCATCTTTTCAGATAGGTCTTCATTAGTTCATTTATTAAAGTGATGACTTTATATAAACTTGAAATTGCTTAACTAAGTATTTTGTTTCATCCACCAACAGCCCACTATCAAATAAGCCAAGTGTTGTAGTATTTTGAGTGTAAGGAAAAATAAATTCACCAAACTCTGGAGAACAAAAAACCTATCCATTTATAAAATGTAAAAAAGAAAAAGAAAAAAAAAAAAGAAAAGAAAAATTGATGTAATGTAAAAGGACTACAGACTAAAAATGTTTTATTATTGATGGAATTATATGTAGGGGAGGGGGTGAAAATATAATAGTCTGATATTTGCAGTATATACATCATATTTCTCGAGAGTCAGTGAAAAGTGAATAATGGATCAAATTATATTCTAACAAAGGTAGTTTGCTCCATAATAGTTGACTAGAATTTGGTATTAGAGAACCAAACCATTTCCATCTCTCACACACACACAAAAGTGTATCTGGTATAGATAAGAGTTGCGCTCTCTTGAATAATTGGTTGTTTAGAAGCGTTTCTGAACTTTTTCAAGCAAACACACACCTAGGAGCAAATAAAAATATCACGGCACACTTAACCAAATTCTTAAAGGGTATAAATTTAAATGTGAAATAAAACCATAGATTTAAAAAAAAAAAAAAAAAAAAAAAAAAAATTAGACACACAAATATGAACTTTATTTCAATGTTTCTATTCAACTATTTGTGTAGCTTATTTAGTGTGAAATGTGCCTGGTGTTTTTTCATGATTTCTTCAACATGCCTTGAATAATATTTTGCGGCACACTTAAGATGGCATAGCTCACTAGTGTCCTACAGTATAGTGGTTGAGAATAACTGGTTTAAAGAATGAGGTCTTTAAAACATAGATGGCAACACCGCTAAATTTGCATGGCTGGCAGTTGTGTTAAATGGCACAAAAATCATGGTGCTTGGTTGTGGACAATCTGTGTTTGTGGTTACAGGTATATAAAACTGACATTCTTTAGTGTCTGTGTCCAGGAAGCAGGGAGTGGGGGGTCTGACATTTGATAGAGTACTATGCAAATTCACGACTATTTACATCGTTTGGACTACTGTATTCATCTTTCAGTCATTGTTTACTCTGGCCTTTGTCAGAATTTAGAACCAACCCCTTTATTTAGTCCATGGGAATGACGATAGTTCATTAGAAATATGGACAGAAATTTACCCCCACCCTCAAGTTTGAATTAATGAACTAAGCAAAAAATGAAATGGGGGGGGGGAGAAAAGAAAACTCACTTTTTGCTTTCCCTTTGCTTTGTTTTATTAACTTCTTCATTTTGCAGCTCATCTGCGGATCCAATGGATATTGTTCTTTCTTCTCTAGAGATTTCTTGTTTTCCAAGTTGTATGGAAGTTCCAATGTGCTGAAAGAGAAAACACTTCCACATGAGAGAGAGGGAGGGAGGGAAAGAATATTTTCCCTTTTTCAACACTTCCTTTTCATTATTCAAATTTGACTATTGTAGAGTGGTCTGAATAGTTCAAGATTCAGAGAATTAATCTTGATTAGGATAATAGAAAAGATAAAGCACTTAATAAGAGAATAACCCAAAATGATTCAGGACAGACATTAAAATCATTAGCATCATTTTTGGTACTAACTCTTCTTACAATGGACAAACATAAAAGCCTCTAACAAATTTGTAAAGTTCTCTTACAACCTTAAAGAACTTAATATTCTTGAAAAGGTTAAGTTAAAATTATAATTGGTAAAACAAAAATAGAAGTTGAAAAAAAATTTTTTTATGAAAGTAAATATTACTGTAGAACCCAAATTTCTTTTGGTATGAGAACATTTTATTAGGACATAAAAAATATTGACATTTTAAAAAGTATACATTCACATAATACATACAATATTAAAACAAAAGGAAGGAAGAACAAGGAAAAGAAAAATATTACTGGGGGGGGGTAACCATTTATTGTTCATTGCTTTTTCACAGCTCAATTGAAGACAAAAAAAAAGCAAAGTGAACCATTCTTAAATCTTTATGTTGTGATAAATCAATTGTTATTACTAAAGCAGTCAAGGGCATGGGGATATTAGACTATAGTGAGATTACGTGAACAAAATGACAATTTTGGGAGATATTGAAGTTTATACAATTGGGACTGGATGTCACTAAGTCCATTGAACTAAAATTAATCAAAGACAACATTCTTTGACTGTTGACATTTATGAAGGCATCACACCTGTAGGCTTCAGTTGTATAGTTCCCCTAAGACCCACAAGTACACTATCCCATTCAGATTTATTTTATCTGTGGTGGGTTATTGCTCGTATTGAAAATCCTGTGTGTTATTTTTGATATTATAGTGAGGAGCGATCTGAAGTTTTTCATGGATTTTTAAATGAATTCCAACCGGCTTACAGTTTACTTGTAAGAATGGAGACCAATGCAATTCTGCCTTTTCTAGGTGTACTGGTTCACAAGTCTCCTCTTTTCAGACTTCTGTGTATTGTAAACCTACTTCTATTTAAATGTAAGTTCATTCAGATCTTTTGTCATAAACAATGAAAATTGTATTTTTTACCATTTTACAATGAGTAATATTGTTTTTCTTCTCTATGCTCTTCCTCCACCTTTTGATTATACTATGTAATTTATACTTTGCAAATTGTCCATTTTTAAAAGCCATAATAGAATCAAATTTAAACGTGCCACTAAAGAATTGGAGGAATTGTGAGTTGTCATTGAAAAGCTGAAATATTTCTGAAGTTATTTAAATAATTAGTTAAATAGTTAAATAATTTCTTGTATGAAGACAGATACATAACAGACACATTCAATGAGATAAACACTTTATTCAATTAAAGCTGAATAAAACTGTTCATTCCTCATCCTTCTGTTAAATATTAAAAATTCAAGTTTATGTGTTGTATTAAAAAAATAAGATTAGTTTGTTTACAAAAAATATGAGCAATGCTATAAGGACATATGTTTGACATTAAGAATTGAATTTTAGACACTCGTCCATGATATTTGGAAAAAAAAAAATAGAAATAAATAAATATTTATATTGTATACAGTACTATTCAAAAGTTTCAAACCACTTTAGATTATTATAGACTTCTAATAATAACCAGCTACAAGTCATTTTTTACAACTTGTTTCCCCACAGATTGAACATTGACCCTGTTAAAGTCTTCTCCATAGCTAATTGTCATATTTCATGGCGGTTTGGAAAATGTGAGGCAACCACAAAAATGGCCATGTAAAAGTTTTGGGCAACCAGACTATTTTTTGTCTTCAGTGCTGTTATAAGAAATACGTTCATATTAGTAGTGGAACTGCTAATATGGTAAGTTTTATTTGTTAAAGTTACAAAAGGTGTGTAAAAATTTTCTAAATGTTCTGCATATCCAAGCACTTTCAGTTATTCCTTTAGCCATTGTCAAGGATGACTTTTTATTTTTAAATGATATATATATATATATATACTGAGGTAAAATGAGAACAAATGGAGTGTAATTCTAGTGAACACTTAATTTATACAGAGTAGAGCTAAATATTATTTATTTTAGGATATTAAAATGTTAAAAAAAAAAAAAAATCTCTACATAATGGCAATTATGTTTCAAACACTACAAATATGTCTTCTCAGGCAATGTTAAATTACTGGCAAGTGAAAGATTAATTCCTTAATCTTTCACTAATTACATTATGTAGAATTTTTAACATGTTTTAATATATATATATATATATATATATATATATGTGTGTGTGTGTGTGTGTGAAATTTCTTACATTGAATTCGAGTATTCTTTCAGTGTTTGAAATCCTGACAAATTTTCAAAGAAACCAGGAGTGAGATAATGTCCAACAATACAAGTCTGCAAGCACTAAAGAAATTGGAATTGCAAGAAGCAGCCTTTGAAAAATCCTCTTGAAATTTCAAGGTAGTGGAATTATTTTGGATCAGCACCAAATACAGCAGCATAGGGATGGCATGGAGATTGATCAAAAGACTTCTGCAGCCTTTGGTGGTCAAAATTTCAAACCAAAGAAAAACAGCAAGACAATTAATGAATGAATGCAACCTGTCCAATTTGCTGTGACTTGATACCATTAAATGAATCATTCAAGAATATAAAGTGGGTGGGGGACATTTCATCATTAAGCCAAAAGCATTTGATGGAAAGATTAAGTTGGTCAATGAGGTATGAACTCTGAGATGCAGTTGCTTGGAATAATTAAATTAGGATGGCGATGTATTCTAATAAGCATGAAGTTGTCAAAGCTAAAAAAAAAAAAAAAAAAAAAATAAAATAATGAAATCACCCACATTACATGACAAAAACAGTAAATTTTCGGGATAAATGCCTGATGATTTGTAGATATATAAAAAGTGATGGTTTAAGAAAGGTGGGTTATAATTGACTGTAGCTTGAATAGTGCTAATATGTCCAATTGCTGAAGGACCATTTAATACCAGACTTAAATGACAGAGCACCAGGCTCCAGATTACAGGTTTTTGTACAATCACTAAAGTTAAGTAATGTCAAGCCTAGTCAGTATCTAGATGAGTGACTGCTTAGCAATATCAGGTTGGAATACAGTCTTCAACAAACTTTATGTAATAAATTTTCAGACATTTTTTTTTCAGTTTCAAAATGCTATCTGGTTTGAGGTGGCTAAATCTTTTGCATGTCCATTTTTGGAGATAATCTCATTGAGAACTGTTATAATATATAATTAGATATGGAAATTGTGTCTATTGTAGTTAATGTTTCTTTGTTTTTTGGGGGGTTTTTTTCTGTAGAAACTCAATGTGAAATATGAACTTATCAAGCTGGCAATTATTAGAAATTAACAACAATTTCAAATGCTCAAAGAATTTTGCATAGTACTTTGTAATGAACAAAAATGAAACAAGAAAACACAAAAAAAAGACGAAAACACAAAAAGATTTAATTGAAATATGACTCTCAGTTCAAGTCCTGTCAGTGATGTGTTTACAAAGCATAAAACAATATTAGCAGATAAAACAAAGACATTAATAAAGATGATTCAAATTACCCCCCCCCTGCACCAACACCAAAAATGCAATTAACTTCTACTTTTGCAGATTCTAAAAGTTCCCATTAATCTAAGAAAAGAAAAAAAAATGTCAATTATGAAGAGAACAAATGTACATTATAAAAGAAGATTCTAAAAACTTGACTCACCTTGGCTTCAAGATGTTTCCCCCATAAGCTTCTTTAGGGTTGACCTTAACTTTCTTGTGGGCCTTGGACTTTGTGGTCAGCTCAAAGTCATCATCTACACAGCTAATATCCTCAAGAATTGGTGAGTACTTTTCAACTGTCTTGGATTTTTTATTTTTGGATCGAGCAGGTTCAGTCTGTGGGGTTGACATGAGGCTTGATTCTCGAGAACAGGCCTGAAATAAGGTTTTACTTATTATTTTCTGCCACATCATGTAAAAACATTTCACATCACTTTTTAAAAGCTGATAAAGATTCAGTTGTATTTTGTTCAGACAAAACACATGTAGACATCAAAATATCATCCAATAACAGATTAATGGGTCAGAGGTAGAAACCTATAGATAATAACAGGTCACTTAATAAATTAAAGAAAATAAATAAATTAAAGAAAATAAAGAAAATAAATAAATTAAAGAAAATAAAGAAAATAAATAAATTAAAGAAAATAAAGAAAATAAATAAATTAAAGAAAATAAATTAAAGAAAAATAAATAAAATAAAGAAAATTAATAAATTAAAGAAAATAAATAAATTAAAGAAAATAAATAAATTAAAGAAAATAAATAAATTAAAAAAATAAATAAATTAAAGAAAATAAATAAAAAAGAAAATAAATAAATTAAAGAAAATAAATAAATTAAAGAAAATAAATAAAAATAAATAAAAAAAATAAAAAGAAAATAAATAAATTAAAGAAAATAAATAAATTAAAGAAAATAAATAAATAAATTAAAGAAAATAAATAAATTAAAAAAGAAAATAAATAAATTAAAGAAAATAAAAATAAATTAAATTAAAGAAAAATAAATAAATTAAAGAAAATAAAAATAAAATAAATTAAAGAAAATAAATAAAAAAAAAATAAATAAATTAAATAAAATAAGAAAATAAATTAAAAGAAAATAAATAAATTAAAGAAAATAAATAAATTAAAGAAAATAAATAAATTAAAGAAAATAAATAAATTAAAGAAAATAAATAAATTAAAAAATAAATAAATTAAAAAATAAATAAATTAAAAGAAAATAAATAAATTAAAGAAAATAAATAAATTAAAAGAAAATAAATAAATTAAAAAAATAAATAAATTAAAGAAAATAAATAAATTAAATAAAAAAATAAATTAAAGAAAAATAAATAAATTAAAAAAAAAAATAAATAAAGAAAAATAAATAAATTAAAGAAAATAAATAAATTAAAGAAAAATAAAAAAAAAAAATATAAAAAAGAAAATAAAAAATAAAAATAAATATGTGTTCTGTTGTATAAAAAATAAAAAAGTAAAAAATAAATTCTCTTCCTCAATATTAATGTTTCTGTTTTCCCGGAAGCAGAGTTGCTCTCATAATCTTCAGCCAATCTAAGTTGCAATGGATCAAAAAAAATGGCAGCCTTACCTTTTCTTCAGGATCACCAGTGGAGGATTCTGTTGTTGTCGATGAGGTCTCATCTTTCTCATCTGCTGCACTAGAGAACCGGGATTTTGTGGGTTGTTCTTTATTGTCTGTTTTGTTTTTCTTTTTCTTATTCTTTCCCTTGGCTGTGGAAGTATTGACATTTGTGACTGCAACATAATTTATGTTCATCAAATTAGAAAAGAATAAGAGGAATACAAACAAGAGACAATACAGATATCTGAATAAAAATCAAGACATCAGCTGTTAAGATGTTTTTGAATTAATTCTTAAGTTATATTTAAAGAAACCTGATGCTGAAATGTATTTACTAGTATAAAACAGATTGTCTTATAACATACTAAAACTATATATTGCTATATAAAATATATTGTAGAACATTTATATTGACCTTGACTTGTATAAAAATACGTATGCTGTTGGCACATTGAATGATTTTAAAACCCTAAGTCAGCATATAGTCAGCAAAAGGTTGCTGAACCCTGTTATAGGTTGCGTTGGTTATCGACATATACCTTTACCAAGTCATTATGTAACACTTTGTTTTTTATCTGTTTTTCTTATCTCTCTTTTTCTTCCAGCATGCTTTAGTGACAACATTACAGGGACCTTCTTCCTGAGCATGGAGATATTTTTCCCCTTGGTGATTGAACTTTATTTGTACACACGTATACATCAACCACGCACTTCCTAACTTGTAAGGTCTGCTTTTTTCTGCATGCATACCAGTGTATTTTCTGTTTTTTGTCAGTTATATAAAAACTAAAACCCAAAATATCGTTTTGGTGAAATTCATTCTTTTCCTTACACACATTATTTACACGTGCAAAATATTGTGGCCAATGCTTTTAGTCAAAATAGGAGTAGTACTCTCAACAACGGTGATCATGAGGTGACTTGAATATAGTTTTGTGAAGATGACACTTTCAAGAACCAATTAAAAAAAAAAAAACAAACGAAAAAAAAAAAAACAGAACACTTCGTGTCTTCATCCTCTTCTTTCTCTTTTCTACCCAGCCTGCTGTAGAGTTGATGACACTAACCAGGCATGGCTTGTTTTGGTTTGCTTTGTGGCATATCAACCTCAATGGGTTATTTTATGCCAACAACTTTTTTACTGGTAATTTGTTTTGTCAAAAATCTATTTCTGGTAATATTTTTTTTTATAAAGTATTTCTGGTATTAAAATCTATTTTTACACTTTCATAATGCTTTTTACCTCAGTTTCAGGGTTAACTATTTGCCCATAGCTGGGACCCTAACAGGTGCTACCACCCCAGGTCAATTTTTTAGTTTTTAATTCTTAGAATTTTGAAATGCTTACATGGCTAAAAAATGGATTCTAATGCAATTATGTATTTTTAATTTTAAAATAGCTTCGCAAATACAAATCATACAATAATTTTTTTTTTTTTTGGTGGGGGTGGATGATACAGAGTCTGTGTGTGTGTGTGTGTATATATATATATATATATATTTATATATATATATATATATATATATATATATATATATATATATATATATATATATTTGTTTAATTATTGTATGTTACAATTTGGAACATATCATGTGGAATTTGATAATAGCTGGAGAAAAATTACAGATTGAATCTACAGACTCTCAAGGATTATTCACACCTTCCAAACACAAAATATATTGTGCTTTGGAACTGTTGCAATAAACAATTTTGCTTGTAAATAGGTCACATTTATGAGGATACAGATATGTTTTCTTAGGTATTTATAAATTGTACACTGTTCAATTATTAACATTAACAACAAACTATTTTAAATTACAAAATTCTACTTGGATTAAACAAAAATTACAATATTAAATACATATTTTTTATAATACATTCCTTCTTGACAACACAGGTACACTAGCTTCTTTATAAATTGCTGAATAAGAAATATTACATTGTAGTTCACAGTTTCATAATCTTGTAGATATAAAATTAATCTTGTAAATAAATCTAAAAACTAAATTGTGTGTAATGTTGTTATTAAAATTCTAAACATTAGCTTTTAAAACAAAGATTATTGAAGGAGTGATGTCATGAGAAAAACAGTCCTTTTGCAGGTCCAAAGCTTAAATTTTACCAATTTTTTTTTTTTTATTCATTTTTAAAGACTCCCATCAACACCCATCCTAGTGCCAATTATTACTTACCATCTGTTTTGCTATGTGTATTGTGTTGGTCATCATTGTTTCGTTGGTCCTCACTGGACACCCTCCGACTACTATTGCTGCAGTTATTGTGGCTATTTTTATAATCATCCTGAGAGCCCGAAGATGTCGTGGAAAATGACGCAAAATTTTTGTCGTAATTCATTTTTTTCTGTTGTCCAGAGTCAGTGTTCTTCTCTGACAGAATCCTTCTGTCGTTGGTGTCTGTTGAGTTTGAATTGAGATCATTGTGATATCGTTTGGATGCTCGTGTTTTCTTACTGCGGTGGACTGTTGTGTTTGCACAGGTGAGGCTGCTGCTATTGTTGTTACTACTACTACTACTACTACTTGACCGCTCTGTTGCATCATCCTGATGGTGGTGGCTGTGATGGTTTTGGCTGTGGTGATGGTGGTGGTGGTGGTGGTGGTGGCCAGATGAAGAACTATTCTTTTCTTCATAATTTGAGGCCTTGAGATTATTTTGAACATGCAAATCCCGAGAGTCTTTCTCTGGCATATTTGCTTTAATTAAATTATTGGACTTTTTATTTGTAGTTGTAGCAGTAGTTGATGAGGAGGGATTGCTGTTAGCCATGGCTGCAGTGGCCGTGTTAGAACTTGTGGGGGTAGCATTTGCCGTGGAGTGTGTGGCTGTGGTTGCCGCCGCTGCTGCTGCCGAACTGGATATGTAGAATACGCTACTGAGTTTTTTAAATAAATAAATGACTGTCTTAAATGTCCACCGTTTGTTGGTTCGGTGATGCGAGTGGTCGGCATGGTGATCGGAACGCTCTGCAACTGACCGCGTAGAACACCGGCTGTCTGAAGAGGGGGAAGGCAAGGAAGAGGCTGGTAAAGGGGAGGAGGAGGAAGAAGAGGAGGAGGAGGAGGAGTACAATGAGGAAGAGGAGGATGAAGAGGAAGAGGATAATGAGGTTTTAGATGGGATGGATGAGAGTCCGGTGATATTTTTTAAGTCAAATGCCTTGCCTTTCTCAAACAGCTGGGCAACATTCAGCACCTTCTGTTTTCGCTTGAGCGAGTCCGCCACACAGATGCGCTTTGCTTCGAAGTAGGCAGCAATAAAGACGCATACAGTGAGCACAATGATTATGCAGAGGAAGGCATAGTAGAGTCCCATCTCCCAGGAGGGACGTGGCAGGGCAGCCGCACATTTCGCTAGCATGTAGGGTGGCACTGTGGCCTGCAGCGTATAGTTCATAGGAGGGCCCAAGCTAGTAAAGATGGTGAGGACACGACGAATTCGTGACATTGTGAAGTCTGGGGTGAAGCTGAAAGCAGATTAACAAAGTTTGAGTTGATAGACAACAACAACAACAAAAGAAATCATGAATTTACAAGAATTATACTTTGAAACTACCACTCTAAAACAACAAATTACCAAGCTTTGAAAAAAGTTGTTTATTTTGATATGAAATTTTGGCAAACTTAGACATTTGTGCCTTCAAAACAATGGAGTGTGAAAGAGGACCTCCCCCCCATTGACACCACTTATTTTAACTATCTTCCATCTTTGTCAATGTTTTAACAATTGATGATTAGAATTGTAATAAAACCTAAACATATGATGAAAGTGAATTTATACATTTTTTGTTCTTTAGAATTTACAGCATTCTTAAGTATAGTTTATCTACAAGATGAGGTGATGTTTTGTGGGGAGATATATATATATATATATATATAATAAAGAATTCTCAATGTATTGGAAATATGCTGATTGTTTAGGTAAAATATTTAGGTCAAATGAGGATAACTTTACTTGACATGATAAACCATATTAATAATGACCCAGGAATAAACTTGTTACGCACAAGTGAAAAACAAAACAATTCCTAGCAGTAAACCAGATTTTATTCTTGGGTTCTACTGCTATAAGCGAGCGATGTAGAGATGAGGCATAGGTGAGGGGAGAGGTTCCCAGTCCAGTGGCTGTCTCCGAGGCCTGCTTCATCCCTTCCGTGTGCCTTTTTGCTTTTTTTTTTTTTCAGGATGATCAGTTTTATAGATAACAATTTTGTCTTGCCACCTTTTTTAGACAATAAAGTGACTTCTCTCTGAGTAAAGCTTCTTGCTCTGTACTTTGAAATTTAACTTCACTTACTGATAACCATCAGTCAAAAGTAAAACCATATCCAATTTCATGACAAGTCCCAGTTTTCAATTTAACAAGACCTCACCTGTCTCATATATATATATATATATATATATATATTGAACACAGTAACATACATTAATAATAGCTCATGGCTATTTCTAAAACAGGTGTAGTGGCTTAAAAAAAAAACAAAAAAAAACTATCAAATGATGACTCTTTAGTTAAGGATAGTTTCAGAGTTTAAACATTACTACTAACTCAGGGTATACCAGCAATAGATCATAACTTGCTTTGTTAGTTGTGTCAGTGGGAGTAGATACTGCTGTCTGCCAAATCTTGAAGTTGATTCCTTTAATTATAATGGTTTATATATATGGGAGGGTACTGAAAAGTTCTCAGCCTGGTCCACTTCCCAAAAACTAACCAAATAACTAAATTAAGGAAAGGCTTCTTGCAAGAATATTTTAGCAGCTCCTCATGCATGCGAAAGTGCAAATTACAAACCCCAGCCTTAAGAAAAGAAAAAAAAAGAAAAGAAAAGGGCATGTGTGTGGAATATACTCAAACCTGGGTACCCTCAACAATACCATTTGGAGTAAAAAGAAATGTCTGATTGAAAATTTATATATATGAGGGAAAAAATAAATAAATAAAATGAAAAGTACTTTCAAATTTAGAATTCCCAGCATCTCTCATTTGTCTAGTCACATAAATGTAATCAAATTTAGTCCGATGGAGTCCCCAAAGTATGAAATGTGACACAAAAAACTCCCCACTTTTGTCATATATATATATATATATATATATATATATATATATATATATATATTTATTTTAAATTCCATTTTTATGCTTATACGTTCTTTTTACAGATACAAATATTTAAGTAAATGCTCTGTTTATAAACAACATTTACCGGCCTGAATGCCCGAGAAATTTTCATAGAAAATATTCGTCCTCCGACAGGAATCGAACCTGTATCCTATATGGAACTGTCATATAGCCTGACATGCCTTAACCGATTGGGCCACAGAGAAGCATTTGGTTAGCAAGGTCGATTTTACTGTTTTTAAACACAATTCGCCATGATTTTCTCTCATTCATTCATATCTGTTCAATGTATCCAAATGTAAACAAATGACGTCATACATTATGAAATGGACAGAGTCAGATAATTATTTTTAAAAAACACACACACATATATATATATATATATATATATATATATATATATATATATATATATAAAAGAAATATAAATGAATATAATTAAAAGATGAGAAAATGTTTAGAAATTAAAATAATTCCATAAATATGTTAAATTGTAGAAAACATTTGGGTGCTACTCACGCAATATCTATTTTTTGGCTGCCATTTGGGGGTAATTCAAAACCTATACAGTCGAGCACCTTGAAGCCGTATCCTTCGCAGGGGGAGGAATTGATGCTGAAGCCATGGACATAGAAAGGCAACTCTCCTGTATTTCGCATTGTAAACATTCTTTTCACAGTAAAATGGGGCAGTGAATTCTTACCCTGCCTTTTTTCTGAAAAAAAAAAAAAAAAAAAAATAATCTCAGCTGATTATATAAACAATTATTTTTATTTCATGGGAACTTTTGCTTGATTTCGCAATTAATTTCGATTATTACCAAATTTATTTCCAGGTTATAAAATTTTTTGGGTGTTGTCCAGCATCTCTCCTCATTCAGAACTCTTAATAAAAAAATCTGATGTCGGTGTGACAATGGCTCCAATATGGACAAAGTTTCATTTGTAAACAGCACAATAAACATGTTAGGAAAAAGTAATCAGTTTGGGGCCAGGAAAATAGTTGATTGCAACGTTACAATTATGTTGCAACATCATTAGCTTGTAAACATAAAACAACCCTTGCCCAATCGTTCAACCATCTAGCCAATGATCACCCCCCTCCACTCCACATTTCATTCTGATACTCAATTTTAGTGTACACCAAGGGCCAAAGAATGGTGTGAGAATGGTGTGATGCATGCTCATAAAGTAACATAAATGAAAGAGTAAACTTGTAGAGAAAGAAAGAGTGCAAACCTTATTATATGTAGGGTGTTTTATTCAAGGCTTTGCCTGCTCATCTAGGTGGGTAGGTAGGTGATATTGAGGACAACTTCTGTTTTGTCAGCTCTTCCTCCTCCCCTCCCCCATCGGATGTGGTGGCTGGCAATACAAACAGAGTCTTCAGAACTGCAAGACAGATCCATCTGTCTCCCGCCAAGGGCAGATCAGCAAGAATGACTTAATATAGTCCCACACCCAGATAGGCTCTATTCCTAGCTTTGTTGCAACTTGATTGCCTAAAACCATCAGCTATCCCTTTACTTCCATGTTACTTTGGGGTCAAAGTGGATGCCACTCAGAAGACCTAACTTCAAGAGGAACTATCTGCTGGTCCGTCAAAAGAAAAACACTCAAGATCGGGATAAAAACCACCTCCGCCCTTTCTATGTGGCTGTCTATAGTATCACAAGCTATCTCCAAAATAAAATGCAACCTTTCAAGAACATTCCATGTTAACTGGGAAAGTGTGGGCACAATCTTGCATGCATAAATATAAAATGTATTTTATACAGTCAGACTACAGACCATGTATATATTTAGTTCAATCAAATGTTACCAACCAATACAGTGGCTCTTTAATTATTATTGCAACTGCTTATGGCAGCATCACTATAAACACTCACCAGTTCTTGGGTTCTAGAAATTAGAGGTTTATTATTCATTTATATTTGTTAATCAATTCACCCCAAGCAAGGAGTAACTGGGAGTGAAAGAAAATGAGAAGACTTCAGTTAGAAGGAACCGGAAACCCAACCTTAAACAGGAAATGAGAGAAAGCTTTATTCCTGTTCAAAACACAGGGGAGGCATGTGAACTGGGCAATAGGCAAACCTATCTCCTATTGAGGAGAAAAAAAATAATTAGTGAATAAAATTTCAGAGTTCAGGAAGAAATGTTAAAAGTAGAGTTTTTTTTAATCTATTCTTTATAAAATCCCCTTCTCCATTTAAGTATTTTCTTTTTTTTTTTCTTTAATCTAATTTCCAAGATTTTAAGAAGAACATATGCATTGGAATACAAAGATCAAGAAGATTTCAAGAGACCAAGAAAACTATAAGTGAAGCTGTGCACTTACTATCACAGTTTTTTAAATGTTTTTCAGTCATTTCAAAAGGTAAAGGAGCTTGGGAGCCTGCCTTTCTGTTACTGAATCTCATTTCTCCTTGGCCACCCTGGCCCTGAACAACCAGACTATCAATAATTGTCAGGTTGTTCCTGAAAGAAAAAAAAAAAAAAAATTACAATCTGCAACAATAATTAGCCATAAAAGTTTGCAGTAAAAGTAGCAATAATAACAGGAAAGTCAAAACTTACAACTACTACAAACAAACAAACAAACAAAATGTTAGACAAACCTCTCATCAATGGACTAATGGGGGGGGGATGATTTGTTATAGTTAATTGCTCATAGATGAGAAGGGATTATTTTTGAGTTATAAAACCACTATAGTAACTACCAATAGTTATGATCATAATGTAAATACTATAAACACAAACAGACACACTCACACATATATATAGCATAAATAAATATATACTTAATATAGATATATTAATCAAAATAACAAAAATAAAAAAAAAATTTCTCACAACTACTTTCTAATGCACACACTAATGTATCATACTGTTTTTGTTTACAACTGAAACACCTGTCACTTCCGCAATGCACTCTGAGAACTGATATGGCTTGTTTTGCTAAGCCCACAAATTTTGAGGCACATTGCTGACAATCTGGAAGCTTTTTCATGCAGATTTTTTTATTTTTATTTTGCCTGCAGATTTTGTCCGTTGCATCTGAAGTCTGTTGATGGGGGTTCCATAGATGAGAGGTTTGTCTGTATTTCACAATTTTAAAGTAGCTCTTCAGATGAGTATTTAATTAAAAACCATAAAACAGACAACTCCATATTAAGCAGCAGTTCTATTCCAAGTGTCATATATATATATATATATATATATATATACTAGCTTTGATATCAGGCAAACAAAATATTCTGAGAGCACTCAGTATATAAAATTCAGGCTAGGTTCAATATTTAAATATAATAATTTTCCATTTACATCGTTCAGACTGTTGTCATCTTTGTCATATTCACAACATTTCAGCTGTTGTATGCTCTGGCCTTCTTCAGGTGTTGGAATTTTGAACTGAACCCTTTATCTCATCCACCGAGGTAGATTGTTTTAGTTTCACATGCCATGCCTTTTCTGGATCTCTCAGTCTCAGTTATTTCCCTTTAGTAACTCAACTCTCCAAGGTTTGTTCACCTCCGCTGTGACCAGGTATTGAACTCCCAACACTTTCATCCACTGGGCCATGCGTCTTTGGGGAAATGTGAATATTAACATAAAGATGAGGACAACAGTCCAAACAATGTAAATAGTTACAAAATCTCAGAAATAGACAATTTTCCAGTTGATAATTTTATCTTCAACTTTTAGTAGGTTGTTTAAACAGTTTAAAAAAAAAAAAAAAAAAAAATTTCTTTTATTCAACCTTATATATCTAAAACATTTAATAAGTAAGACATGACTTAAAAAAATAAATAAAAACCCCAAATAAACTGCTTTTCATAACTGATGAACTGACTTGATTCTAATAATTTTCTCTTGGGATAAGAGTTAAATGATTGTCCATGTTATTGGTAGACAAAAAAAATTTATAAAAGAAAGATAGCAGTTAGCTCCATCTTGAAATGTTCCTAGTTTTTTTTTTTTTTCAAAGGGGCAATTCATCTTAAAATTTAGAAAGAGAGTGTGCTAGAGATCTAAGAAAACCGACAAGATCTAGTGGTCGATGTTTGTCAAGAAAATAAAGAGATAATATAGAAATACATACATTTTTTTATTTTTTATTTTTAACGAGAAATCCCTGTACTGTACCTAATAATGATTAATGATGTTCTTGAAAGATCATCTTTTTATCTAAATCCCACATGAAATTTTAATTTTTCTCCTGGATTAAGGAGGGTTGCTATTAATTCTTTATGTGGTTTAATTCGTAAGTGTGCTCTCAATGTGTCTCTGGTATCTGTGAATATCAGAATTAGGCTGAAAAGAAAAAAAAAAAAAAAAACAAAACAATTTAAATTGTTAAATTATAATTATATATATATATATATATATATATATATATATATATATATATATATAAAGTGAACATAAAGTCAACACTTAGAAATTTTGTCTGTTTCATGCTATATGCAATCGTCATTACCCCGTGTGCTGTTATTTTTCGGCTATTTATATATATACGGGTTAGTGGTGCATTGTGGGTATTCTATTATGGCGGTTATTTTATATTAAGTCGTTTATGTTCATTTATTTGGGTATATTATATTGCTCGTTTTTTAACTGCTTAAAAACCGAAAACCAAAAAAGAAAATATAAAATAAATTGACCTAAATTCATCCAAGTAAATAAATAGGCAAACCAATCCCAAATTAAAAAAATCAAAAAAGAATACCCCTTTAAAAAATAATAGTTAGAATGAACTACAACAACCAACCCCAAAATTGAACAAATAGCTTTAATTAAATTCTCAAACCAAAACAAAACTGTTAAATACGTGATATAAACAAATTTTTACTACGTTAATAAATAAATAAATAAAATAAAAACAAAAAAAAAATAAATAAATAAATAAAATAAAATAAAAAAATAAATAAAAACGAGCAATATAACTTGACCCAAATAAATGAACAAAGCGACTTCCGGTAAAAATAACCGCCATAATAGAATACCCACAATGCACCACTAACCCGTATATATATAAATAGCCGAGAAAAAATAACAGCACATAGTGGCCTGACGATTGCATATAGCATGAAACAGACTGTCGCCTCTAAGTGTTGACTTCTATGTTCACTTTTATATTTACACACTCTATCTCTGATATTGAGCACTTTATCCCATAAATATAGCACACCTTAAGACTATATTTCTTTATATATATATATATATATATATATATATATATATATATATATATATTCAAAGACAAAAAAAAATAGACATTATGATTAGTAAGTTTACAAATTTTCAAAAATGTAAATCATAAAATGCTGAAATTTTCATACTTTGTCGGGTTTTCCTTTAATCTATCATGTTTGCTTTATGGACAAACATAAACATTTGTATTATTAATATACAGGATGTATTTGTCTTGATTCACATTCAATTGTTGTAGGGAAATGAAGCTGCACATTGAGAAACATGTTCCAGACCTGAGGTGCAGTTCAACTGGCAGGAAAGTCATAATAAAATATTTATGCAGTTCAAGTGTAAATATGCAGTAAGGTATGAGCATAATGACAGTAGAGAGAGTAATCAAGTTCCTAGTTTTGAAAAGTAGACAGTACAATTTTGGACGAGATGTTTGCAGTGTTATCAGGGCTGATGCATACAACCTCTGAACGTCTCTTTGTGACCCCCTTTGCTATCTTATCAACATTTGCATTTTTTCTACCTGTGACGTTTACACACCTGGCCCAGTGTCGGATCCTTTGGTTACGGGCGCCAACAGTGACGTCGCTCCTCCTGGTCGCTCCTCCTGGGTCCAAGCGTGCCGCTCCAACCCTTTGGTCAGATGATCACCAGCCTCGCCTTTCCCGACTTCGCTTCCAATACCTGGTCACTAAAGCAACTATACCGATCTCCGGTCTGTCTACCCACGCTGTGTTTAGATCTTAGACAGACGGGACCAGCAGGGATCGGGGCCGATACAAGTTGAGTCCGACGGGGTGGCAAAACACAAATAAAATAAAAACTCACGACACAAACAAAATTGCTGATAAAAAGGGTAACAACCTTTTATATCTAAAGTCCGTTACATAAAAACAAAAGTGTTCTCATTTCCCGACCCGCTCTGTGGACTATGGCACCAAGCTTCTATCACACAATAGAAAATTTTCGAATTACCTACTTTCTAGAATCATGTATGTATGTCGGAGTGTGGTTCAGTTCGACACTGGGGCTAATTTCTATCGATCATTCGCAGTTGATTCTTCTCTCCGACTTGAGTTGTATTTCTTCTTCTTCGTCTGCTTGGGCTGGTAGTTTTCCTGTTTCAACTTGGTGGAAGATTTCTTGTTTCAAAACCTCAGCATAACTCTCTGTCGTCTGAGGTGGTCTCTTCTCACTGCCGTCCGGGAGCTGAACTTTTGAACTTCTCATCGACTTTCTTTTTCTGCATCTCCAATTCTTCTCAGGCTTTCAGGCAATCTTCTTCGTCTACTTGGGCTGGAAGTTCTCCTGTCTTCGACTTGGGCTGGAAGGATTTCTTGTCTGAGGATTCTTCTGTCCGCAAAGGGGTTTGAATGTCAGAACTGATGGCCCGCGTTCAGGCTCTATCCCTGCCCGCGGTCCAATCCTGCTCAACTCCAACTGCAACTCCAACTGATTTCTGTCGACTGGGGTCCTGCTTTTATTGACGCCGCAACAAACTGGGGTGGGTCTGTCGGCGTCAGGGTTTTCTCGATAATTCCAAAAACTGCATTAATTCTGTCTTCTCCATTATCGCTTTTGTTTTCACCCTATACTTCCTCGCAGTACCTTTGGTGGGGGGATATAACATCCATCTCTCTTAGTCTCTCGTATGTCAGGTGACCGCTTTTCAACCAATCGTTCCTGATCGAGCATTTCTTTTCTTTTCTTCCGCAGGTCACGTGATCGTATTCGACCAATTGTTATTGATCGAACATTTCTTTCCCTTTTCTTTCCGATAGGTCACGTGATCGTATTCGACCAATTGTTATTGATCGAACATCCTCTCCCCTCTGTTTGCTTGTTACATCGTTCTTGTTTAAAAAAAAAAAAATCCAATTTTGCCCCTTTTTTGCACGTACGAAAATGACAATCTTTGGCTTTCTCTCACCTGGACTTTGTCAAACAGCCCGCTGCTAATTAGTCTTGACTTTAGAAAGGATCTTTTTCGCCTTCTTGGCGCCCTCTGTGAGCCAAAAAGCAATTGTCCCTCTTTTTTACCTCTTTGTTTTTCCTGATAGTCGAAAATCTTAATTATCTACATTGAAAATGTCTCTACTTTATTAACGTGGGTGTCCAGGTCATTCTCTGTATATCGTTCCACTGGTCACTCCCCTCAACCCAAAGACACTTCTTCTCTGATTAAGATTGTTTCATTGTTCCCAAAATTTCTCTTTTATCCAATGAGCCTTTCCACATGCAAAAAGTAATAAAGTGCTCTGACCGACATTCTTATCAAAATGACTTTTCCAATTGTCTTTTAAATCGGCCAAGATGCTGACCTAAATCTTTTTCTGACTCCTATCTCCACCCTCAATTGGGTCATCGTCATACATTTCTCTTTCTTTCTTTTTTTCCCTTCCTTCCTTTTTCCTTTCTTTCCTTCTTCTTTCCTTAGGATCGTCTAGTACAATCTTAGTGAATTATTTTCAACTCAGTTATTTTCCGTTTTTAAAAAAAAAATTAACAACCTGTTTAGTAACCGAGTAAGAAAAAATTAAATCATATTTCTATGAATATTTCTAATAATGCAAGGTGCCACATACCTACATTTTTATGTGTTACAAATTAAACTAAGCACAACTGACTATTAAGATGTTGAAAATTTTTTTGCAGATTTTGATGTCATTCTGGGTGTCTTTTTTCCGCCCCCTCCTCCAAATCCGTAAATTTGTTTTGCTCATACTAAGACTTGAAAAGGCACTATAAAATTTACTATTTTTTACCCATAATGCTGAATGCGTTAAAGACCTTCAACTTTTTAACAAGTCTTAAGTTGATGCTAAAAATTGCCACAGAATATTGTCGATTTATTTAAAATGGAATGTTCTATTATGACACGTCTCTAATTTATATTTAGATACATTGTATTTATTTTCTATTTTTCTAGTTGAATTGTTCGCCTATATTATCCTTTATTGTACATCATTAGATGACAATAAAATTCCTATTATATGAATACTACCTTATAAAAATTGAGATGTAGAAGAGTGCTTCACCCTACTGTATGATAGATTGTGGGGGTGGAGTGAGTGCACGAGAGCCTTGCACTAGTCTTACAGTGTAGGAACTAGATGCTTAATAAATCTGAATATTGGCATTTCAAATATGATCGACTTCAGAGAATGTTGCCCTTATACCTGGATAACTTCAGTTGGTAACATCCTCCAACAAATAGAGACTACCATCTTAGGAGATGGCTTCATAACCAGTCAAGAACTTGTAGACAGGACAAAAAGTATAGTGGGGAGGTTGGATGCAATCATCTACGAACGGATGCATCTCTGCATGACTGGGTTCTGTGTCATTTTGCATGTTTCTAGAAGGAAGAGCCATAACTCCACCAATGAAATTTTGGTCATGCATGTCAAAAAAAAAAAAAAAAAAACTCAAGAGAACTTTTTTTTGCCTAAAGACTAAAGCACAAACCAAACAATAGAAGCAGAATGATACTCCCCTCTAACGATTCAAATGGGCATACATCCAACTATCTGCTGGCAAGTGAGCTTACAAGAACTGGTGTTCCAATGCAATATGGCTGTAAGCCAGAATTTAATAAGACATCTTTAGTAAGAGAAGATCTCAAAATCTGTACTCTTCACCCAATTTTTAAAGCATTCTACAGGACATTGATACTTGCAATTGGCCAGGAATGACACATCTGTATGCTTGTCAACCTATAAGTGAATATAAGAGTGGACACCGAGGTCAACACCAAGTGGTGACTCGTGTTCATGTTTGAACACTATCTTTATGGCCTGTAATTTGGCTCTCCAATTAACAATTCCAAGCCATTATCCATTACACCACCTGCACATCCAAGCTTACAGTGCATGGTATTCCCAAGTGGTCACTCATCTAGGTACTGACCAGGCTCAACTTTGCTTAACTTTGGTGATGGTACAGGAATTGGTGTTTCACTGTGCTGTGGCCATAAATCAAAAGAGAGCTTTGGAGAATTTTACATTTCATAAAACATATTGAATGCAAAAGTAGCAGGTCACATATGTGATGAGTTTGTATGAATGGATCACATAACAGGGAGTCAAAGGGATGGCAAAGGAACAAACCTTGCTAAGTGGTACAAGGAACAGGAAGTTGTGTAGAGCCATGATTGCTCATGCCCTGAAGGGACATGCTATATAAAATTTATGAACTACTAAGAAATAAAATCTATTAAATTGTTAAAATGGTATCTTCTTTCTTCTTAATTCCTGTTCTTTTAATGCTCTCTCTCAAGTTTTTCTTTTTCTCAAATTCTTTCACACTAAGTAACCCCTTGCATGTTATTGGTTTTATTGCCTTAATTGGGTTGAAATGATTATGAATTTAAATGCAGTGCTAAATTGGTGGCAGGGTCTCATCATTTTTAACAGGTAAAATTACTAGATGTTACTAAGTTTGATGCTAACAGTATCTTCTCTCACATTTTTTGCTTGTGGAACTCTTCCAGTTTTCTGTTTTCCAGTAAACTTTGATATTCAAAAACTTAAATGCAATGTCAATCATTATCTTCTGCTCTTTTATTGTTCCCTCTCCTTAATAGTGCTTTTTTTTCTTTTTCACTCAGTAACCACTTGCATCTTAGTTGCTTTATTGCCTTGCTTGGGATAAAATGATTAAAAAAAATTTGCTCGAGCTGAACCGTCTTTTTTGATTTACATTTTAACTTGCGTAATTACTTTTGATATGCTAGTTGTGCCAACAATAAGATTTTCATTTTGCACAAAGATAATAACTGTATGGTAGGCAGGTATGATATTTATTTTATTCCAAAGGCTAGTGGACAATGTTACACTGAATATTATTTTTTTTACCGAGGACCAGGGACCATGGTCAATTTTGAACCCAATGTTGTCCCCCTCTTAGACTGGTTACTAATCATGGCTTAGAGAGCCCAGTCTACTCTGCTATTTAATCAATAACTGGGGGAGAGAAGAGATGGATTCATATATTTCCAAAGGGTATTTGCACATAAGGGAATGTGTAACAAACTCGACTGGAATTTGAAGTCTGCTCTCCAATTTCACATTCCAAGATGCTATCCATTACACCATCTGCACATCCTAAATATTATGTTTGAAGCAAAATATCGCAGAGCCAAATATCAAAGTACATGAAAAAAAAGTAACATGTTCAATCAACATAGATTTTTCTATTTAATTTGCCGCAAAACCTGCCTGTAAATATCGGCTCTCAATGTTCAACGCATCCCATGTATACTCTGCCATAATATATGACAAAATCATTGCAAACAACACAGGAAGTCACGCAAACAGTGTAACTTTGAGAGCTGATACTTCCAGGGTGGGTTTGAGCATACTGAATAACAAATAAAAGTGAAAAATTGGAGGTTACTAACTGTTGAATAGGACTGTTCCAAATCTGGTAAAATAAAGATTTCTTTGTCATCTGTTTCTATATAATCTGATAAGTCTGATGCAAGCCTGAAATGAAAATGCAAAGAGTCAGATCATAAAACAAGAGAAATTTGTTCTTTTTTTTTTTTCTCTTTAACAGTGTTTTTGTCAGCACTAGTAAATGCTATACTTTAAGTATTTTGATATTCTTGTGTAGTGCTAAAAATGCTCATATGAAAGCCAAAATGAACCAATCCTATCAAAGACAGGATAGTGTGTACTTTGAAAACTGAATTTGAAGAATTAAGAGCCAGAAACTAAGTTTAAAGATTCACGCAGAAAAAAAAAAAAAAAAAAAAAATAAAGAAACACACAAAGAAAGGCAGGTAAATACAAAGTAATAATTACCTATGGCTCATAAGATCCACAATGGTCTGTGGATTGGGATAAACTGGCAGGGCAAGTATTTGGATTAGCACCGGCACATCTCCAGGGTTCTCCACTATGAAGTCTGACATCTAGACGAGAAGAAAAATTAGGTTTAAGATGGAGACTTTTTTTTTTTTTTTAAATTATGGAAATATTCTTGATCAACATGTTCTCATAAATTACTTAGGAGTGGCTAATGTGATATACCTCTCTGCAATGAGGTTTTCTTATTATAGCAGTCAACTAGATTGCAATTCACAACAATTTGTAGAGTGATAAAGGCAGTGAAAGCAATTATCATCCTGGAGTGGCCAACAACATGTTTCATGGGTGATTTTAAGAGAAAACACAAAATTCTCTACTTTAAAGTCCTCTTTTCCCAAATAGGTAATCACATTAGAACCTGATTCTGTTAGTTATTTGAAACATTATTATTCACTTGTTTGCATCTTAATAACATTGATTTCTTCTTTGTTATTCTTTATAATGAAAGCATAGGCTCTATTCTGTGTTTTTTTTTTTTACTAACTTAAGGACACTATTTGTTAAGTGGTTGACAGGAAAGACATCTATTAATTATAGAAGTAATGTTAATTCTTTTTAACAAAACATGTCTATTTGTATGTTTGTTTTTCCATCATTCTTTTTAACAATATTGTAAGTTAAAAAAACAATTGAAATGTTAAATTTTAAATGGGCGACAATACATACAGACATATTTCCAATTTGTGTGAGAGGAAATTTGATCTTGCACTTTCTAATCAGAGCTGGCCAATGGAGATGTGCCTGTGCTGAGAACAAGAAACCACGCACTTGATTTGTATCCAGTTCAATTGTTACATTAGCTCTGGAAAGAAAAGAAAGAAAAAAAAAAAAAAAAGGTTGAATTTTCAGAATAGAGAAAGGTGAAGTCATTTTCATTTTATTGTCTAGAAAAAAAAAAAAAAAAAAAGTTAAAAAGAAACTAAAAATAACAAAATACCCCACCCCACAAAAAAAAAAAAAAAAAAAAAGGTCTAAATCAAAAATAAAGTCTGAAGGTAGGAGTTATTCAATGCTATTTCAATATAAAACATACAAAGCTGAATTCATAAGGATGCAACAAAAATTAAACAAGATAAAAAGCAGAAGTAGTAATAATAATAATAATAACTATTACCAAGAAGGATTCTATCATCAATTGTGAAAGATTGTTTTTGTAAGAACTGAATACCCAATATCTGGGACGAGGAGTCGTTATATTTACATGTGAACTATTGTTTACATCTTTGCTGTTATCACGTTTCAGGCATTGTGCCCTCCAGCCTTCATCAGTTGTAATGTTGAGGGAATTCAGTTTGGAATTCCTTGTAGGTCACCCAGATTGACATACACCTGATGAATGCCGGTGGGAATAACAGCTGAAACGTTAACAACAGCAAAGATGAGGACAATCATCTGCAGTTAAATAACTGAATAGGTTATTATAACCTATTTCAAAACGATTTTCTTTTTCTTTTTTTAATTATTCTGTCTCATTTACATAATAAATGTAGTGTTACACTTTGGGCCAGCAACTTTTAGAATTGATTTGTCTTGAGGCAGAAAAATAATGGTGTTGTCAAGAAATAACAAATGACATAAAAGAGTTTGAGGAATGGCTCTGATTCATTCATGTGCTTCAACAGTGAGACACGATGACAACTGCTGCTAGAGTTTGGTAATGGGGAAAGTCAAGAGTATTGAAGGGTGATCACTTTTGCAGCATTTGTCACAGCAGATTTGACTTTTAGACTTTCCTCTTTTATAAAGCTTGAAATCCTTCACCATGCTAACATGATTAGGAAAAGTCATTACTCATACCTCCTGCACCAAAATATTTTGGGTTAAGACTGTTTAAAAACAAGAAATAGATAAGAATGTAGGGGAATAAATTTTCTGCAATCACAGAATTGTGGACAAAATCATGGAATTGTTAATCTTAAACAGAATCTGGGTTTTTAATGTAATTTTCAATAAGAAATAAATTATTTGATTTTTTTTTTCAATTCTTTCAAAATTTTTAATGACTCGCCAATTTTGATAAACATTTTAATATAATAATGTAATGTAGTTATTTCCTTAAAATTTGTTTTTACAAATCTTTGTAGGTATCGTTTTCCTTATAAAACCCCAAAAAGAATTAACAACAAAAATGTTTACATAAAAAAAAGAAAAGTGAGTTGTCGATTTTTTAAGAATAAGTTGGCTAGTCTATTTTTAAATATTTTATAACTTTTCTAAGAAAGTGTGTTGCAAACAAGATGAAAGTCAGAAGGCCATGGCTTGGTTGTGGCCACCGAAATCCATTGCTAAAGTGGAAATGGAAAACGGACACTAGTTGATGCCAAAATTGGAGGGGAGAGAGTGAGAGAGGAAGATCAAACCAATAAGAAATTAATTTCCTTTAGGCTGCACACAATTTAAAAAAAGATTTTAAACAACTTGTAAGCTTGTTTTATAGGAAAAAGTAAATGCTATCATGTGCCTACCATACAATTTAAAAATAAAGAAAAAACAATTCTCCAAAAACACCATTCTAAGAAACGACTGGCTTGTGTCTAAGCTTACCATCATATAGTGATTCTCCCAGATTAATAATTGTATCATCTTCAGTGCTTCACCATTGTAAAAAAAAAAATTAAATTGAAGAAAAAATCCTTTAATAGCATTAACTTTCAATGATTTTTTTAATGTTTATATTTTGTAATCTAAACCAGTTGTATGAATAAACAACAAATTAAGTGAATTAACCTCAAAAGTTGGACCTGCTTCTCTAAAAAAAAAAAAAAAGGACACTAGTATGTAAAATTTGTGCTAAAGCCAGAGTAGAGCAATTTCCTGATGACTTATGCAGAATAAAATGTTATTTTGCAAATTCTGTCTCAATTGTGTTGACATATTTAGGGTTGACACAATCAAAGATCACGTCAAATCAAAAACTCATTTGACAAAAGTCTTCAAAAAAGTCAGCTCAACTGAAACAGAAAACAATCACAATTTTGTTGAAGAGAAAAGAGGTACAAAATGATTCATGTACCAAAATTGTTTGCTTGTCACTTTGCTGTTCTGAAAGCTAAGCTTGCTAATCAATCAGTCAGCATCATAACAGATGAAACAACTGTCATGAACACAGCATTTTGAATGTAATTGCAAGCATTCATGGGGAATCATTACTCATTGATGTTGTAACCTTGCAAGAATGCAATCATCAAAATCAGGCATGCATCCGAGCTGTAACTCATGTGGATATTGCATTTGAGGATATTATTGCCTTTGTAACAGATTCTGCTTACTTGCCTAATAAAGTTGTTTCATTATATGTTTTGTCATACAGACCAGCAGGTTCATCATGATTTGTTACAGCCAGGCTCCTTCACCCGTTGTACCCTTCAGCCCTTTTCAAATCTATTTGGTCTCATTAGAATTTTCATCTTCATTTTCTTTATTGATTTGTGCCAGATGTCTCTTGATTGATGTACAGACTAACACCAGCTTTCTTCCCAAAGTCTGGGTGTTTGCTTCCAATGTGAACAGGCTGAAATATTTATTTTGTTCCAACTTAATAGTTTGTATTACTACAGCCTAGCAGAAAGCACATTCCTTTTGCACTTTCACATAATGTAAAATTGTAATCAATATTGTTAAGAAACTTGGCAACAGCTTTTAGCATTTAATCGAGAGAAACAGTGAAAACACTCACGTGCTTTGATCCCCCCTGGCTACTCGCTCCCATTTTTGTTGAAGATGTGTATATAAATATTGGTCTGTGTCAGCAACTTCTCTGTCTAAGCCCAAACCTAGTAACCATTGGTGACCAGCTGGAAGGAGGAGGAGAAAAAAAGAAAAAAAAAAAAATTAATGCAAGTAAAACTTGAATAAAAAAGAAAAACATTTTGTTACAATTGTGAAAACCAAGTTTTGTAAAATACATCTATTGGATGCTTTAGTAAACATCATCAGTGATGTTTCTAGCCAAGGTTCATTAGGGGTTTCGGGTCTTTCAACATCATACTCCCTCTCCACAGTGACTCAGCCGATGACTATAAACAGAATATTTCACTTGAAAACGATAATGATTCTAGATAATCATCATTCAGATATTTTAGAATATAAATTTTTTAATATTTATAAAAATCAAGGAAATGTTTATTATAGAAACTCAAAATGGGTTTCTCTGTTAAAAGTCATTTGACAGTTGATTCAAATGCAAATTAAACAGGGATAAAGAGACTAAAAGGAAGAAGAGCTGAGTATTGAAATGACAAATGCTGACGAATCTACATGTTAGGAATAGAAAAACCATAATCACTGGACAAAAAATTTGGCACATTAACTTTGAAATATCTACATATACATTTAAAAACATGAGTGATTTCCAAACAGTAAAGGACAAATATTTACTCATCCAACAAGTTTATTACTATACAAATAAAAACTTTACTTCTTTTAAAAAAAAAAAGAAAGAAAAAAAAAAAAAGGTTGAGTTAATGATGACCTAAGACTTGAAAAAAAAAAAAAAAAAAACATGTCATGATTGTAGTGATGAGGAGGTGAGCATTTGTTTGTAGTGGTTCTTAGGAAGAAGCTGTCTGAATGGAACTTGATTTTTACCAATAGAATTGATGCAACAATAAGTGTGAGTGATATCACAAGGGAGTAACCTAAAAAAAAAAAAAAAAATATAATATATATATATATATATATATATATATATATATATATATATATATATATATATATATATATATATATAGGTGGGTCTTGATTATTCAATTATTTTGGATGAGATTAAGGGATTGATTGATTGATTGATTGATTTTAATGGTATTGTCAACCCATCTGGTGTTATTTTATCCAAAGAGGTCAATTGTGGGAGATGATCAAATTTTTTTTTTTTTTCTTTTTCTTGATTTTGACAGTAACTTGTCTGTAGTTGTTTGTTTCTAAATGGATTGGGAATTGCTTTGAGGAATAAGTTTCGAGTAAAGTTCAAGTTTACAGTTATATTTTTTGATAAAATTTATTTTTCAGGATGGACAAAATGTCATTTATTCTGACATTTTTGAATATATCTCTCATTTGTGTTGTAAAAGTGTCCTTGTCTGATAACAGCAAAATCATCACATTCTATTAGATTGTGTTTAACAGTTATAGGGTGTTTTTGAAATGCATTCTGGCTGATTTTCTCGTTTAAGTAAAAAAAAAAAAAAAAAAAAAGACTGATTTCCATTCTCCGATATTGGATTTTATTGAGAATAGGTTGTTATGTACATTGTTACTCTAATTTTGTTGTCATTTTCTATGGAAGAACATATTGATTTTAGTCTTCAGATTTGTATACAGGATTAGGAATATGTCCGGGGGGTGGGGGTTTACTGTTGATTTAGCTGCCAAGTCGGCTTTGTCATTCCCTCTTATTCCTATGTGGCTTGGCAGCCAACAGATTTTTTTTAGCTATACTTGGTGTTCAGCCAAGTTTAGTATTTTATTGATGTTAGCAATTTTTTATAGATAGTAAAATAGAGTGATTCTGAGAAGATCATGAAATTTTTGTTGTTGCACTCATATTAGGTGCCAGGTCTATTGCATAGACTTTCTGCACTAAAAAAAAAAAAAAGAAGAAAAAAAGAGGAGATTTCTTTTGGAGACCTCCCGTGACAATTTTTTTGTTTAGCACAACTGCAAGCTTTATCACAATTTTTGGATCTATCAGTTAAAAAAAAAAAAAAAAAAAAAAAAAAAAAAATAGGAGTGATTGGGATAATGCTTCATGAAGTTGGGGGGGAAGTTATTAGATAAGATAGTATCATGTAAATTGCTGAGAGGGGATTTGAGATTCTTTGAAGGTGGGTTTTATATGGAGACCAAAAGATTTTATTGCTTTTTCTTTTTGTTCAAATAGCTGGGTATATTTTGGATTAATGGTGAAATCATAAGCTGGATTGGATGGGTAGGATTTAAGTTTTACATAGAATTATAGGGATGCTTCATGAGACCCTGCATGTAAGCTTTACACTGGAGAATTTTTGAAGACTCCTAAAACCAGTCTTAAGCCTTCATTTTGTATAGGGTTTAGCTCTTTGAGGTAAGACTTCTTGGCTGATTTGTAAACAAAGCTATCATAGTCTAGTCGTGAGCAGATTAGTGACCAATATAATTTTAGTAGGGGTTTGCCAGTCAGCTTCCCATTCTGTGTGGGCCACTGCTTGTTAGAGCTGTAGTACTTTGCTGCATTTTGATCTCAGGTATTTAATGTGAAGGGATGAAAGTTTTCTACCAAATATAAGTCCAAGGAATTTACATTCGCCAACGACAGGTATTTTAGTTCCTTCTAGTTTAATGACCCAGTCATTGTGCATTTTCCTCAATGGGCAGAAATGCATATACTGGGTTTTTGGATTGGAGAATTTAAACAATTCTTTATTCCCTATTTATTAATCTTATTTACATTCACTTATAGTTGATATTCTATTATGTGGATGTCTTTGGATCTGTAGCATGTCAAGAGATTGTCAACATACAAGACACTGTCTATTCCAGAATTTATGCATTTAAAGATTTTTAAAAAGGGTTACTGCGAGGATGCTTCTTTGTGGGATCCCTTCCTTTTGGTTAAGGAGGTCAGAGAGGGTGGATCCAACATGAACCTTGAAGTTGCAGTCTGAAAGAAAGTTGCTTAGGAAGCCTAGTAATCTTGCTCTTAGGCCCAGATTGTGTAGGTCCCTCATTGAATCATACGCTTTTTCTAAGTCAAAAAAAGATTGCTGTCAAGCACTACTTATTTTTTATAAAAAGCTTCCCTTATGAAGTTTTCTAGATGAACCAAATGGGCTATAGTCTCTCTTTTCAGACAGAATCCAAATTGAAGGTCGGTGATTAGTCCATTTGACTCTAGGTATCATATAAGCCTGTTGCTGATCATACGTTCCATAGTTTTGCATAGACCAATTGTCAGGGGAATGAGTCAGTAGTTATCTGGATTTGTACCATCCTTTTTGGTTTTTAGAGATGGTCACAACTGTTGTTTGTCTCCATGTACCTGGAAATTTATTGCTTGTCCATATATTATTGTAAACCTCCAGAAGATACATCATAGATTCTCTAGTCAATTGCTTTAAGAATTCGTAATGTATTTTGTCCAGACTGATGCATGCACTGTGTGTGTGTGTTTTTTTTTTTTGTTTTCTTTAATGGAGTCCATCAATTCTGGTAAGGTGAACAGTTTGTTATATAATTCTGAGTTAATGAATTTAAATTGTAGTTTGACTTTTTCAGCATTTCATTTCATTGAATTGTTGGTTATTCTGGCTAGATGAATATTTTGAGAAGGTTTCAGCCAATAGATTTGCAATATCTTTTTAGGCAGTTATTTATGTTATGATTTATGGAGAGGTGTTTTAGGGAAGTTGATTATTGTTTCCCCAGAGATTTTGCAAATCATGTCCCAGATTGTTTTTTTAGTAGAGGGGTTGAGTTTACTAACATAATTATGTCAGGGGTTTCTCTTGGATTTCTTAATTATTTTGCATACTTTTGCTCTGTGGTTCTTGAATGAGATTAGGTTGGCAGTTATAACAGAAGCTTTAAATTAGTGCAGGGCTGCTTGTCATAAACGGATAGCCTTTTTGCATTCTTCATCAAACCATGGTCTGTTCGGTTTATACAAGGCAGAGTTCTTTGGGATGCACTTCTTGGCAATATCAATCAATTTGTTTGTAAAATCATTGGCAGTGCTATTGGTATTGTGCTTTTTTTATCAAGTGTTGGAGACAGTGTTTGGAATTTTTCCCAGTTTCCTTTGTTTAGCCTCCATTGGGGTAGATTTTCTTCATCAAGACGCAGGCCCTCAATCATAATTGGGAAATGGTCACTGCCACTTGAATCATCATGTATTTTCCAGGAAGACTTGAGGATCACAGAGAATTAAATCAAATGCCAAGTAGGTGCCTAAAGATGAATTTCTTATCATAGAGGCATAGGTTGTTATTGTTGATGATCCTTTCAAGTATTCTGCCATTTTTTTTTTTTTTTTTTTTTTTTACATCCCCATATAATATTGTAGCTGCTGTTGAAATATCTCTTCTATTAAGTTGTTAACATCATTTTTGTTAACAGAATCATGTGGTGGGATGCATAGGGAACAAATATCTATAGTCCTGTGTAGGGTTTGCTTTGGTAGCTATTGCATGGAGGTTGATGTTCAGATTAAATTTGTTTTTGGGGTATACCATTCCTAATTAAGATTGAAACACCCCCAGAGGCCTTGTGTCCAGTGTTATGTATGTGGTTATAGTTTTTAAAATTTTTGATATTTATCTTTTCATTTTCTTTAAAAACTGTTTCTTGCAGGCAGATTATAGCCAGATGAATTTCTGTTAGTAACAAAAGTAAATTGTTGAGAGTTTACTTCGATTCCATGACAGTTCCATTGTATTATGTTTTAACCTATGTTTAGATTTAGGTCTTGTGTTTTTTAATGTTTTCTGTGGTTTGTGCTTAGGGAGTTGGGGATTTTCTTCCATTTTTTCCAATTTGTCATAAGTTTCCAGAATTTCCTTGAAAGTTCTAATTTCTTGTGTTTTGTGTCTAGAGTGGGATTGTTGATGAGAAATATCTTGACGTTTTTGTTTGGGTAGTTCTCATTTACTGGGGGGGTCTCTTTTGGTGAGGTTTCCATGGAGAGAGGTGGTTTTCTTGGGGATCCTGAAAGTCTCTGTTTGGTAGATCCTTGTGTGCCTTGAGAGTTTTCCTGATTGGAAAGATGATGATGATGACATTTTCTCTTTTTGAGCGGGTTTTACTGTAGATGCTGAATTTTGGGGGAAGGTTTGTGTGGTTTGGGATATGGAAGGCTATAACTTCTTTAGAAGGGTCGGAAGGTTTCAGATTTAATAAACTTTCTATGAGGAGATTGCACTTCTGGAATTCTGGGGCAGAAGGGTTTTGCATAGTTTGTGTTACACTTGAGTAGGATCGAACCGAGAAAATAATCTCTACAATTTTTGACCTCTGGAAAAAGGACATCTTGAGTGTATTTTCTTTTTCTCTTTTCCACACTTCACAGTCTTAAGTCAGCAGAGTGATCTCCATTACAGTTTGCACATTTTAATTGTTTACATGTGGATTCTGGGTGGTCAGAACCATCCTTTCCCCCCCACCTTTTTTTTTGCATATTGTCTTTTTTGTGTACCAGCTTTTGTGATGTCCAAACTTTTGGCAGTTGCAGTATTGGAGATATATATATATATATATATATATATATATATATATATATATATATATATCAACCTTCACTATCATGTAGCCAAATATTCAGATTAGGTAGAGGTTTGGGGGGTAATGAAAATGTGAATGTAAATAGTGTTGTCAAATAACTAGTTGTTTTTTCTTATTGACATTCTCTTTAGATCTGATATTTTATTTTTTTAAGTTCATTTTTATTTCTTCACTTGTACAGCCAGATACTTCAGGACATCTCACCATGCCTCTGGATGCGTTGAGGAACCTGTGCAGATATGCCTAGATTTTCATATTGTGGAAGGTGATCATTTTTAATAAAGGTTCAACATATTGCTTTTTTGTTACTTCCATAATTAGAGAGTTTTGTTGCGGGTTGTTTTTTTCGGATTTAGGTGCCATATTTGCCGAGATATCTCTGTATAGCAAAAAAGGGAAAGCTTTGTAATAAGTTTTTCCTCTGTTGATTCAAGGACTATGAAGCTAGGAAAAGAAGTCACTCCTATGTTACTGTCTAGCTGGGATCTCTTGGTTAATTTGTGTGGGGTCATAAAAAGGTTTTTAAAATGTTCATTAACTGTGATTCCCACCCACCACAGAGTCCAACAAGGGGAAGGGACCAAGGGGTAAAAAACTCATTCACCTTAGTCAAACAGGGCTACACAGTATACTCACACCTAGAGAGAATTTTGGGTGCTTGTAAGTCATGAGTTTCTACATCCAATTATGTAGTCACTCAGAGGACTGTCCAGTTTTGCCAAAGTCCTTTGCCTCTTGATATGATTGACCCTACAGCCGCCACCTTCTAGGTCAGATATTAGATGAAATTGAATGCAGCTTATCTCTTGGATTAGGAAGAAAGTGTCCTAGTATGAGTATTTGAACTGACTGAGAGCTTAATGTGATCAGCTGGTTGATTGGATTAGGCCTCTTCAACCACCCATTGAGCTCAAGTAAGAGCCAAAGTGATGTGCTGGAGTTTAGGAGTATATGTATAGCCCATCTCCTAAAACCTTCAATTACAAGGATCCCATCCTCATGCATCACAGGTTGTTACCCAAGGCAAAACATGTATTTTAAAGCACTGCCAACAGGGTGATGAGATTAAGGAAGACACGATTAAACAGCTGATGGTACAATATTGAAAAGAGACCCTGGAGAGTGTTTTGAAGTGTGGAATTGATGTTACAATAAGTGTGAGTGAGATTACAAGAGAGTACTCTAAGGAGTCCATGATACCAAGATAGTCACTTAATCAGGATGTAGAAAGCAATTTTTCTAGTTTTAATGTATATTCATAGCTAAGAACTTTATAGCTAGATCTGGTTGGTTATTCACAACTTTAAACGATGACTAATTAAATATAAAGTGACACCCATGATATTCAAAGCCATGTTTATTTTGTTGAGCATGACCGGGATTAATCTCTGAGAAATCAAGATGGGTCCTGTCTGACGGAGAAGCATTTGAGACAAGGTTTTACATGGCAGGATGCTTTTCTGGGGGGGTCCATCTCAGGCACTCACAGTAGTCCAAGTACCCCAAATTTTTATATTGAGATACTATGTTGCCATTTAAGACTTAAGACCTCATTCCAGCCATATTAAAATTTAAATTAAAAACATTATTTTTAGTGGATATCCATACTTGAGTAGAACACTCCATTTATTATTTTTAAACAGTATATTTATTTTCGTCAACCGGCCTGAATATTCAAGAATTCTTATTAAAGAAACAGATGTGCTCTATGGCAGGATTCAAACTGAAGTCCCATTTAGCAGGAGAAATTGTTAGACATGACATGCTTTAAACTGACTTGGCCATGAAGGACTTCAAGCAAGACCGAATAGTGCCTTATACACATAAATCATTCTCATCCCAGATTCTCAAGAGTTCATCTCTGGTCAGTTTTGCATCCAAACACAAAGCAATCTCATTCATTGGTTGAGTGCTTTCAAAGAAAAGGCATTTGACAGCTGCTGCTGCTATAATGCTAGGTTCTTTACAATGAATAGAGCACTCTGGCAGCTGATAATGCTTATATCACGTATATAATGTGTTAAAAATTCCCTTTCTCCTCAGCGTGTGCCAATAGCCTAGGGGTAAGAGTCTGACTGATGTCAAATCGGTCAAGATCCAATCCCAGGTTGAAGCAATTGCATGTCTACCCACACTGAAGAGCTGTGATACATCTAAACAGTCTGTGGATGACTAATTATTTATTCGAAAATTATAACAAATATGTCATAAAATCACAAATAATATAATTTTCGAATAAATAATTATATTTGCTCTACTCTGTATTGAGTACTCTTTTAAGAATAGTATTTGTTGGTTATTGTAATTTATTCCATATACACAAATCCTATACTTGGAGATTATATATAAAGATTATTTAACTTTTAAATATCAATTTTACCACAACTTCAAAGTTTCCTGGTAAGATTTCCATTCTTGAGGGAATTCGGTTTTAAATGATATTGCCAATATATGTGTGTGTATGTATGTTTTACAGCCATTGGTTTTTATAAGAGACTCATCAGCTCCTTGACAGGTATTGTTTTTCATCCTGTGGGGTGAGATGCCAGCCACCTCACTAGCAGAAAAGCTTGTAGAGAAGCTGGTTCAGAGGTCAACCATCCATCCGTGTGTAGCAGGTTGTATTAGGTTACAGATTACCAATAGTATATATAAAATAAGGAAATATATCAAGTTCACTTATTCACTGTAGGTTTTTGTTTTTTTAATCGATATTCTTTGTCTGCATGTTTTAGTGCATATGTTTGTGCAAAGCTTTGATATCTACACACAAAACCAATGTCCTGTTACCTACCTTGTGTGTATGTTGGTAATCCTACATAACAATCTTCTTGACATCCTCTTTTTGCATCAAAATATATTCTACCAATCTGAAACAAAACAGAATATTAAGGTTGACAATAAGAAAAATATCTCCATTTAGAGTAAATACATTTATAGTGAAGTACAGAGAATATAACAAACCAATTGTAAAATTAAGTTTCAGTGGATTAAACAGAAAAATATGACTGGGATTCAAATAAATCTAACTACTGCCAAATTTAAAAATTTAAGGTAATTGAGAAAAAAAAAAAATCTACTTGAATTGAGGAAGCAGTTGAATTCATTACAATAACCTTGGGAAAGGTATGAATCCATCTTCCCCTGCTCTCATAGCAGGATAGACTGGGTCCTATAGCCCCATTTGGCAACTGGTCTAAGAGAAGGATAACTCTAAATTGAAACAAACCAAGAGAGGGTTGCCCTTCATCAGGCTATCTTGCCCAGGAAAACTCCACTACTATTGTGGCTGCAGTACATGTGGTGCTCCTATGACCCTAATGGGCTATGGAACTTGTGATCATGCTGAATCATTTCACCTTGGTAATGCCACTAGGACACAAGGGGTTACTGGGTGTGAAAGAGAACGAGAAGACTTTAGTCAGGTGAAAGGACAATAAAAGAACAGGAATCAGGAAGACAAAAGATGGGAATTGATGTTGCCTTTAAATTTTTTTATGATTGGTGATGGCAGGAAAGTAAGAAATTGGAAGAGACAAAAACTGAGAAAAAAATATTAGAATACAAGAGATGGTTGCATCTAGGTTGTTCAACAGTAAAAACGGTGAGACCTAATTGCCAATCTAGTAGCATGATTAAAATTCATGTAGTCAAAGCACGAAGGAGAAATAAGCTCATCAGAAGAGTTGCCATGAAAATATTTGTAGAAAAGATAGAGCAAGGACCATGTCAAGTCAGTGTGAAAGTAATTGAAGTCAAGATGCCAGGTCAAGATTGATTATATTACACATACTTCTTTGGATTTAGTCAAGAATCTCAAGGTATATAGTCAGAGTACCAGACCAGATATGGCAGCAGTATACAATGCACTGACGAATGGTTGATTTATTTGATTTTTTGTCTGGGTTTTTGGATATAAGTCCAAAACGGTGTGAATTCAACAGATGGACGCAAGAATTCTGAAGAGTCAATAAGCCTCCTACACTCAGGTTAGTGACCAGCCAAGACCACCTGCACAGGGACAATGAACTAACATGTGACATGCGTTCATATGCTGTCATTCCTCCCACTGTTTATTAGAATCCAAGCTGCCACAGCTCTCTCCTAATAAAACAAATAAGAAAAAGAAATGGTCCTTTTCATTGATACCATTTTATGTAGTAGTGTGGGGAACCAGAGACAATATAGAATTCTGTTCTTTTTCTACTCTCTAATCATCTTTTCTCATCTTTCACTCTCAACAGGAACCATTATTGCTTTGCTTAAGGGGAATTGATTTGATTAAAAAAAAAAAAAAAAAAAAAAAAGGATTCTCATCAAAAGTGTGATGAAACAAAAAGTTCAGCATGAAAATGGGTTGTATTAGTGACTAACTTAAAAGCTGCTTTATAGGGCGTCATTTAACTAATTCCTGTGGAGTGCTTGATTGGGCCTTCATCACAATAGGTAGGGCGGAGTAGATGCAAAAGGCAACAAAATACAGAATAACTCAAAATTGATCACATTTAAGTATTGCATTGATATTTAAGCTTACCTTTTAAATGTTCAACAATAATTCTTCTGCCACCACTTAATTTAAAGAAAATTTGATGTATATAGGTCCTTACTTTCTGTACAAACAAGTATTTTTATTACATGGGTGACTTTCGCTGGATTTTGTAATTAATTTCAATTATCCACAAATTTATCTCCAAGTTATAAAAATTGTTATTGTGCAAAAAATGTCAAAAAAAAAAAAAAAAAAAAAAAAAAAAAAACAACAAACAAACAAACATTCACAGTAATGAAAACTTGGGAATCCAAACTTTCAGGATTGCAAGTCCAGAATGTTCTTAACTTGCTCACAGAATTGACCTGATACTAAAATGATATGTTGGACTACTGCCTCTAGGGGCAAAATTGAAAGAGTGTGACACAGTGACACTCATTTATTATATACATTAGAAAGAAACTATCATCTAACCACTGCTATTGATGAAAAACAATATACTAAGCTTTAGTTATTGAAGAATTGTTATTGAATAGAATATGACAGCAAAAATGGAGAACTCACTCTGTTAAATTTTTGTGGTTCCAATAACACTTGTCCATCTGAGGGTGGCCAGTAATAGAATCGGATGTCTGCAGGTCGAAACATCACTTGTGTAACTTTCATGTAATCTTGAAATGTGCTGTGGATCTGTAAAATCTTGTATGGAATTTTACCCTGGAAAAAAAAGATTAAAAAAAATTAAGGTTCTTAAATAAAAATTGTTTAAACACTGGCATTAAACATAAGCAAAACTGTACTTACGAGATATTTAGGGTGTCAGAATAATGCCAACACCTGAAGCATTCAACCTCAAACAAGAAGCTTACTTACTGGATACACTTTATCAAAAATAAGTTTTTCCGGAATGGCATTTAAACTTCCTTCTGCAGTCCTCAATGACACTGGGATATAAAGGTCCTAAAAAGAGAAAAAAAAAAATTTTTTAAATATTTTTTTTTTTTGAAATTGCTCATAAAATGTAAAAATTAATAAGTCTTAACTTGATAAAATGCATTATCAGACAATTTGGAAAGTTTGACATGTTTCACTGATCAAACATCTGAAAAATGAATTTTATTTCAACAAAATCAACAAGACAGAATGGGATTCATGTTAATCATATGAATGACGTAATTTTTTCCTTTTTTTTTTAATGCTTAAATTCTACTTTTTAACAGAGTTGAAATTAACATTTTATTTTTTTTTTGTTTTTAATTGGTTTCACTCAATGCAACGCAGAAAAGCCACTAAGACAAAGGGTTACTGGGTGTGGAAGAATTAGAAACAGAAACATTAATAATGAGCAGGAAGAGAAGAGAGTAATCAGGACAATAGATAGCTATTGACATTATATTTAAATTTTTGCAGATTAAAGTTGGCTGGAAAGCGTGGAGCCAACAGGAACTTCCACAAGTGAGAAGTGCAAGGAAAGAAACTGTTAGCATAGAACTTATGGTTACATCTAACCAGCTCAACTGTAAATTAATGAGATCTTGATGCCAGTCTAATACTGAACTTAAATTCAAAAAGTCTAAGTACCATAGAGAAGAGTTCATCCAAACAAGTACCATGAAAGTATTTATAGAAAAGGCACAGGGAGACAACTTTACGGCATTGGGAAAGTGACTGAAGCAGAGTTGTCAGATCAGGACCAATAATATTGCTGATTCTTTGGATTTTATCAAGCAGCTCAAGGTAAGTAGCAGAGGCACTGGACCATATGTGACAGCAATATTCTAAGCATGGACAAATGGTAGTAAGATAGATTCTGGAGAGAACCAACTTTCTTAACAGTTGACCTAGTAATGGATTCAATATAGTCTTTCCACACCAGTTTGGTGAGAACATAAGACAGACTAAGCAAGTTTGGTTATATATTAGCCACAGGCAATTCGCAAAGGAATCTAATTGAAAAAAAAACAAATCAGTTAAAAGTTTTAAAAAACATTTAGTGTTTATATGACAATGTAGATATAGTTAAAAAAAAAAAATCCTTTTTTTCTTATGCTGTCTGATCAACAAATTTGTCCAAATTGTTTTTTATATTTAGCATTCCATCAGAGGTTCTCATCCAAATTTAAACTAATGGATTATCAGTTTTACTTTCTGCATTTTAATATATAGACTGGAAACTGCTTTTAAATTAATCTTAATTATATTTTTATTCTTAATAAACTTCTATAAATCCATTTCCCACTTCCATAATATACCTTCCCTGTATCTTTTCTATAAATATTTTCATGGCAAGTGTTTTCATGAGCTTTTCTCTTTTCTAGTCTAGGTCTCATCATTTTACAATCAAAATTGCTAGTTGGAACCATAAGTTTTATGCTAATTGTTTTTTATTCTTGCACTCCTCAGTGATGGAACTCCCTGCCAATTACAATCTTCAAAAATTTAAATGCAATGTCAATTGTTATCATTTGGAATCCTGGTTGTTTTGTTTACTTTGTTTCTTTCACTTAGTAACCTCTTGTCTTAGTGGCTTTATTGCTTTGTTTGGGATATTTATAAATGTGGCCATTCCACAGTAAAACAAATTATTTTCAGGAGGAACATGGAACCATTATTGCAGCTAGGTTTTGTTTCTGCTTTACGGCCATTTAACAACTATAGGTTTACTTAAGGTCAGATAAAGGTTTTGAATCCTGGTTGTTTTGGGTATAGCTTGAGATTATATGTGCATCAGTGATAGTTTTAGTCACTAGTCAGGTGAGAAAAGGAAAAAAGAGAGAGACAGAGGCAGAGCGAGCGAGGCGGAGAGAGACACAGACAGGCAGGCAGAGTGAGACACAGACAAAGAGAGTGAGACATGAATATATAACAAGACAATCACCAAAATCATGGAAATGGATTTCTTACTTGAAATTGTGTAACTATAAGAACTTCTCCTGAGAACACACCTTCATATGGGGCAGCAGTGACATTAACACTGAACACAGCAAAGTGATAAGGTTTTAATATCAACTGAAACGAAAGAAGTTATTCTTCAGATTTCATTCAGGTTAAAATATTTTTTAAAAAATTTAGAAATAGATTTAAAGGCTATCCAAAACTAAGTATAAAAAATGAGAGATAAAAAAGAAAAAAAAGAAAAGGAAACTAATTTTGATGGCACAATCCCAACACCAAGTCTCACATGAGAATCAGTAGGTTTCAGAAGAGAAACAGGTTCAAGGATTCTTTATTCCCAAGTCTGCATTACTTATTAATGAACATAGAATGCAAAGCTCTTAGAGTGGCAATAAAAAACAACAAAGATGAAACACATTTAACAAAGAAAAAGATTAACAACTGACAATATTTCATTGATGAAATCCAAATATTACACTAGATGGATGTTCTAAAACAAATGACAAAATAACTCTGCAAATTTTAAACCCTGGTCTTAATATATATTTATTTTTCATAAAAAAAAAAAAAAAAAAAAAAATTGTCAGTTTAGTAAGAGAAAATCTTTTTTGTAATGTAACATGAAAATAATCATGAAATTAGACAAATACACACCATAAACTGAAATCAGGATATTGTGACAAGGAAAAAATGTTCAAATCTATTTAGAATAAATATTTTTTAGTCGTAATGCAAACATTCTTCCTTTACAAAAAAGCAAAACCTTAAAAATATGCAAAAAAAAAAAAAAAAAAAATAAAAAAAATAGACAGACCATATAACAGACACACAGACATTAAAAAGTTCTTGGCCCAAAAGGGGCTTCAAAGTAATGTGATATTTAGTCAGATTTTTTTAAAGTTGGTCAGGCTAAGAACTTTTCAGCATTTGTATGCAATATAAATGATATAAATAATGTGGATATAGAAATCAACACTGTCACTTTCATGCCTTAAGCGACCAGATGTGTTATTGCAAATGGGGTATAATTTTCTAAAATGTAGACAGCTTTTTAATTGCCAAATACTGCCAGTACATTATGAACATGTTCACAGTTGATGTTAAGGGTTGAGTTTTGTGTTAACTATGCTTACTCTTATGGTCCTAGCAAGGATTGAACTCACCATTCTTGGATAACAAATTTCTGATAATATTAGACTCCCACTTCTCAGCTTAAGTGATGTGTTTTAAGCAGTGGCAGTAGCAGGCTTGTCTCCCCTTCCTGCCAAAGTAGATTTAACCTTTGGCACTATTTAAATTTATTGAATTTCTCCTCAGTGAACATTTTTCTATTGTCTGGTGAAGTGCTGTCACTCAGTTTATTGAGCAAGATCCTGCTTTAACAATGCTTTTTTTTTGTTTTTGTTTTGTTTTTATAATACGGGCTTCTGTTATTTTAGATTTCTTTTTACATTTAGGAGGCATATGTTATATATTTTTGACAAGTATGTTGCATATTAAAGTTGGTATAGTTTAAATTGATTTAAATTGTCCATCATTATAAAAAAAAAATTCTTAACATCAACTAGTCTCAGAAAATTAGACACCACTTACAAAAACAAAATCCTTGAAAACAGATTAGCTAAAAGTGCTCACTTGTTAGTGATTTTTAATGAAGCATATCTCAGTGTCTACTTCAGCACTATTTCAGACCAACAAGCATTCTTGACTTGCAATAGTTTGTGACTCTGAATAACTAATTCCAGTCTGAACAGCCAAAAATAAAAACAGAATGGTTTAATTCACTGTTTTAACATCATCATAACTTCAAATGTTGACTCCATGAAATTTACTAATCATAATTATGCTTCATGAACAAAAGTTGTTGAGACTTGTTTGGGCAAATTCAATTCAGCCCAGTGAAACTAAAACAACAAGCTTTCATTCATTATTCTAATAAAATGAATAGCACTAACAAAATGAATAGCACTAATAAATTCATGTCCAAACTATTAAGAATAGTCTTTAAAATTTTAATAGATTTAATTTACTATTTTTCAAGGTATACAGTTCTGTTACAACTTTATTAAAATATTGACTTAAATAAATTTTGCCCCAAGTGTTGAATTCCGTGTCCACTTATATAACATAAAATGTAAAATAACACATTGAGTTCTGCTGTTAATAAAATAGTACTAATGTAATATACAATCTATCCTGTAAATGCCTAATGTACGACGGAAAATATTGTATACCCAACTAGGATACTTTCTGATAACACTGACAAATTTCATATTAGGTCCAATGAAAATCCCAGGAAATTGTTTTTATCATCCTCAAATGACTTTAGGTAATGTGAGATATATGAATAGCATGGTTTTTTTCCAAACATTTCTGGCAATTAAGGAATGGTAGTAATACACCAATAATTACATGGGATATTGTAGCTAAAGCCAAATCTTACAATGGTAAAAGGTGATATATGTAATTTATGCTTTGTAAAAAAATTAGCTTTCATAAAACACTTAAAAAATCATTATTAATTAAACAAGAGAAATGAATTGATGGTTTCATGTAGGCATAAAAATAAATACCTTTAAGAAATACATTAATCCAGATTAATTTCTACTGTAGATTATAACCTTTCCTTTTTTTTTTTTTTATTTGCTTCTGTTTACTTATCTTAATTTGAGCATAGATAATTTTTTTTCTTTAGTTATAGATATGTTTATTTTGATACAATTAAAAAAAACAAAAAAACCTATTAATCCCTGTTTATTTTAAATGCAAAATATAAATCCAATATCTGTCCATATCTTCGAGATGAGGTATTATGATTATTTTCATTATTCCGACTTATCCTCATCTTCATTGCCATATTCACAAGGTTTCGGCAGTTGTATACTCCAGCCTTCTTCAAGTGATTGGAATTTCGAACCAAACCCTTTATTTCATCCCCAAAACATTGTGAATATGGCAATGAACATGAGGATAAGAGTCCAAATAATGTAAATATAAATCCAGTCTATTTTAAATTAACCCCCCCCCCAAAAAAAAAAAAAACACCATAATCCACATATAATTATGGACTGTGCTGACATTGCATTATTAACCAGACATCTTTTTATTCAAATTTAAATTATGTAACGGTCAGTCTCTTTTCAGCACCTGAGGATTGCATTGTGTGTGAAACTCCAAGTTGTGCTATTGGTGAGGGAAAAAAAATATGTATCTATCAATATAGATACATGGTGGGAAAAGTCAAATGCTGGCCAACAGAGCGTGCTGGCTTGTGTGACATCAGGTTTTTCTACTGCTAGGTTGTGTGTTACCTATGGGACTAATTTGGTGTTTCCTTCATTTGTCATCGTCCTATTTTCAAAGTAGTTCTATCATATATAAATTCAAATTTGAGGACACATGGCACAGTGGATAAAGGCATTGGTTAGATCCTTGAGGACACATGGCACAGTGGATAAAGGCATTGGTTAGATCCAGTGACAGGACCCAAAGAGTGTGAGTTCAATACCCAGTTAAGGCAGTGGAGAACTTTCAGAGGGAAATTAGCAGGAGATAACTGACATCCATCAAACATGGCACGTGGAACTAGAACAGTCTACCCCAGTGAGCAAAATAAAGGGTTCAGTTTGAAATTCCAACCACCTGAAGAAGGCTGGAGTGTACACCGGCCGAAACGTTGTGATAAATATGGCAACAAAGATGAGGACAATAGTCCGAATAATGTAAATAATACCTCATCTCAGAAATATAGACAAATAAAAACTGGTACAAAAAAACTCTTTGCCTTATGTCAATTAGCAATAATTTATTTAATGCAATGTAAAATAAGAGAGAGAAAGAAAAAGAAAGCTTACCGGATCTGTGTCAATGTCTGACATATTGTGTACTTTTGTCAATGTTGTCCCATTGCCTTTTTCTATGCCAAGCAACTGCAATATACTATGGTTCATACTGCAGCTGAATTCACCTATTACAATCTGAGGAAGGAATAAAGAAAAAGTAAAGAATTTACTGATAAGGGTAAACTTCATCAATCTGGTTAAGCAAAAGATACATAACAGGTGCTATTGCCAATTGACCATCAATTTTTTTTAAAGATCAATTTGTAGATATACAGACACTGAATTCTGGGACATTATGTTAATTACATCTGTTGTTTAAATGCTTAGAGTTCATTTTTCTCTTGAAAACTTACGTTAAATTATATCAACTTAAATATCAATTCTCCAACTCCCAATAGAATCATTATTTTTTATGCATTCATAAATTATTCATATATATCTTAGTTTCAAATAAATGTGCTGGGATTATAAGTGGCAATAAACAACACAAAAACCAAGTCCAGTTGTCCCTAATATCTCTTGGAATAAGAATTAATTGTAAATACTTACAACCTTATTCTAACCACCTCTTTTATTAAATAATCAAATAAAAGTCTTATCCTAAAATGTTCACAACCTAATTAAGGGGCAGGAGGAGATTTCTTGAATATTTAATAAAAGGGGTGGTTTTCCAACCAAGAATTTTTTTTTTTTTTTAATTAGAAAAGGTCTTTGAAACTCAGAAATCAAGCTGGTTAAAAATTGTGAAAAAAAAAACAAAAAAAAAACACACATTTAACAGCTTAATATCTTTTTGGTAAATATTTATAATCAACTCCTTTTTATTTGAGGAGTTTTTTTTTTTTTTTTTTGGATAACTGAACTTTGTGTTGTGTTTTTTTTTCCACTATTTTTTACTCAATACAATGCCCAAGAGCCACTCAAGGTAGCGACCTACTAAATGTGTTTGTTGCCCAAGAATCAAAGCAGCAGAATTTCTTGAGTCTGAAACATGCCCAATGCTGGATTTAGGACAAATGAGTCCCTGTGCTAGTTATGAGGATGTAAGGGCAACATGCCTACACAGGCTTGGAAAGAAGATGCTCTAGGGCCAACAGGGCTCTGTGCTTAAGAATCCTCAACTCCACTGATCATGCCTGAGCAGGGGGCTCAAGCACGGAGACAAGCTCACTCATTTGGGAGGACTAAAGCACCCATTAGGAGGAAGGGGAGAAGGGGGATCACAAAGCCTGTTCAAGGATTAGCTGACCTACATTTCAGCCAAACCATTCTCCAGGTACATAAATCCATAAACAAAGGAAAATGTCACTTCCATAGAATTAGCAGATAGCTCTTTTCACTTTATAATACGAGCCACATAAATAATATTAATCACAACCAATTGGATAACAAATTGAAAATATATATATATTTTTTTTTTAAATGGCATACTCCTTCAGGACACAGGCAATCCTGACACTCCATAAATTCCTTTTCTCGATTATCTGTGAATTGACAGGACTTCTTTGGAAATATAGTGGAATAGTTTCCCCATTTCCTTCTCCAGTTTTGAATTCACAGTTGTTTTCCTAGAGTGGCTACTACTTCAAGGCTAGAGAGTCTAGTTTACCCCATTATTTGACCAATAAGTATTGATGGAGTCATGTTTTTATCCCCAAAAGCATTAGTGTGATAGTGAATACAACAAATTAGGCTGTAACTTGAACAGCTTGTCAATTCCCCTTTCTGTGCTGATAATGAAACTATAACATAGCAATAACAAAAGAGAAGCGCTTCAATTGTTTGAGTAACTCTTTGAAATTATGAGTTAAAATTATAAAAACTCCTTTTAGACAGGTTATCCCAATCTGATCCATTTAGAGTTTGGATAAACCTGGCCAAATTTCTGAATATTAATTTGCAAACAATGCAGATAATTTAAAATTTAGCTAGAACTTAACTGCAAATACTAGTCATTAAAAAAATATGAAATATGGTTGTCATGCGAAATGGAATGATAGTCGAATGGTACATGAAAGAGGACTTACATTTACTGGGTTGTTATTCTGTATGGTGAATGTGATACTACGCTGCTCTCTGACACCCATCGTGCCAAAGTCTAGTTGGCCTTTGAACTTTTCAGGCCTATGGTGAATGACCTATAGATGAAGAGAGAAGAGAAAAAATTCAATATTTGATAAAATTTATTGTTTGACAAAAGAGTTTTAAACTTTTTATGTATCATTTTATTTAAAACTCATCAAGTTTTGGTTAGAAAAATATGGTGGTCATTATAAGAATAAGCGTTTTATTTCAATTACTATTAAGTCTGATGAGTTCTTACTGTACTTTTATTATACTGGTGTGTCTTTTTTTTTTTTTCTTTTTTTTTTCAGTAAGGTCACCTTTTCTAAGGACCAGGGGACACTCGAGATAGAAAGTTGCATTAAGAGAGTTTATGTAAATAGGGAGAAGATAACAGTTTACCGTGTTTAGTGATCAGGGAAATATTCTCTTGAGAGTTGGTTCCACAGGGCAGCAGTTTTTGCTGAAAGAAGCTGTTCAAGTGGAATTTACGTCTCACTGATGGAATATAGGTGGATTTGTTAAAACGTTAGAACTAGCGGAACCAAGGAATGTAGTTTGCCTGACCATTTTCCATGGAAATAGCAACAGAGCAGCGAGAAGCTTGCTGAGAGATAGAGATTGTCACCCACAAGGATTTGGAAATGCTTTTGAACTGAGACTGGAAAGTGAGGATTGGACAACTCCCACCCAAATATGAGAACTGTACTCCATTTTTGGCCCTGATCTGGCTCTTGTAAAGGTAGAGGATAGCATGAGTAGTCAGGTAGAACTGAAACTGTACAGGAGCTAACCATTTTACCTGCATCTTTAGCAATGGATCATATGTACAAGTTCCAATTGAAGTCAGGTGTGAGTTTAAAATTCAATGGTACAGTGCCTCCCCCTTCCTCACTTTCATTATGATTGATGGTTGTTTGTGGTCCACTCAGCAATGATGGAATGTAACTCGTTTAGTTTTCAAGACATTGAATGTAACAAGCAAATTTTTTTCCTACCCCAGTGGGAAGTTAATGTTAGATTGGATGAGATCTTATCAAGCATAGATATTTACAAATAATCCGAGTATATTCTTAAACAGATCATTTATGTAAATCCACAATGTAGATGACTGAATAATATTATAGCAACAAACTATCAATTAGTTTGTCTTAATTTGAGCAAATATTGTAAGAGTAAAATATTGAAATCATAATTAAAAATTCTGATCCATTTTGACATTGTTTCCCCCGCCACCCCCATTTTAAACTTCATTTTTCTTGCAACATTTTTAACTGATCGTAACTTTTCATGTCAAACTGTTAGAATTTCAAATAAACCAAGAACTCGCATCTGATGAGAGCAGGCTATGTCATATGGCAATGACATTCTATTTCGGTCATGAAGTCAATATGATCAAACAAAATTCCTATTCTAGAATATTTCTTAATACCACTAAGTATTTTGGGGTTTTTTTTCTATCATTTCATCCCAAGCAAAGCAATAAATCCACAAGGGAAGGAGGACTAAATATGGTTCGCCTAAATGACATCTGGGTTGCTATATGATTGTAAGTTAAATCTTTATGTACCATGCCTCTTCAGGACATAGGTGATCATGGCTCTCTACAATTTCCATTACTTTGTAGCTCTTAATTGTTTTTTTGTTATTTCTTCTAAACTATATTCTGCCATCAAGTTTACTAAGTATGCTATGCGTTATTTCCCCTGTCTCTCTTGCCTTCAATCTGTCCTGTGAGTATCAAATTTTCCAAGCCCTCTTTCCTCAAAGTCTAAGTTTCCTTTTTGTTTACATTTTCTCAAAAATATCCTAAGACTGATTCAATTTTTATCTAGCTACATTTTTATTCAGAATGCCCACAATTTGATTACAAAAAAATATATTAAGGGGAGGGGGTGGATTGTGATAAAATAGAATAAAAAAAAAAAAAAAAAAAAGAAACAATGACACTTCTACCGATATTGTACTGAACTAGTGACTACAGCTTTGATATTTGGTTGTTTTTTTAATACAAATTTACCAAAGTGTAGGACAAATGTTCAAGAATATTTAGCGTTGATTTTTATGACAATCTGTAGAATTGTTTTTTTTTCTTTTTTAACACTTTCATTCTCTAATGTTGTACATTACTCTGGATATACAGAAAGAAACTGACTCTTTATGACTGTCTAGTAACATGTTTCAAATTAAGCTTACCTTGAGAAGCCCACTGTATACAATGATAGGAACATTGAAGCTAGAAGCATTTGTTTGAATGATTATTTGAGAAGTGAAATGAAGAGATGTAGTATTGGGGTGAAAATGCAAGAGAAATGGCACCAAAGTTTCCTGGGGACGAATTATCACAGGTTTGGAGAAATTCTTGATCTGAAAAAGAGAGAATAAAAACAATATGATCATTTTTTTTTTTTCCTCCCTTCTAATTTTACAAATATTTTCACTTATTTTGTAAGAGGCAATTCTAGAGAAACTTGGATCTACTGAGGGGAAAGAAAAAAAAATGTTAATTTGCCAAAAAATTTTGGTAAATACACACTCATCATTTATTTCAAACATCAACATCATGGTTGTCATACTTTTCTAAGTATCGTTTATTTGATAAAAGTATTGGGAATTGATAATAGAAAATGCAGTTTCAGTTAATTTGAAACCAATAGCAATTGATCAATGTGATAAGTATTGGTAGAAAATTTAAAATTTATTGATAAAGATATTTTAACATTTATTTGTTTGAATTTCATAGTTGTGTTGTCATATCCTGCTATGGCAATAGAAAACAACATTGAGTGAAATTAACACTATGTTTATTGCAATTGAGAGGCATTGAAAAACAAGTGGAAAGGGAAGTAATATTAATAATGCAAAGTGCTAAAACTGATAGAGATATGATAAAAGAGTTCACAAACTGAATTTAAGGCTTAAAGTTTTTCAAGAGATTTTCTACAAGTGTCTATTTTGTGTATGTTTGCTTTAAGTTCAAATGTAAATCACAATAAACAGCCTTGTCATCATATAGGTAATAAAAATACCAAAACGGAAATGCCACAAATAAGAAACATGCATATGTGTAATGTAAAAAAAAAAAAAAAATTGAAATTAAAACTAAAGTTGTAATAAATAGAATACATATTTTTACTGTGTTTGAAGGTAGGATAGAGGGGCAGGAGGGAACTTAAACTATTTCTGCTATTATCAATGTAAAAAAGAAATAAATAGAAATTTAAAAATTAAGGATCATAAAACTTAAGAATAGTTACAATTGTCAAAGTCATGTCACCTTGAGAATAATAGAGAGAGAGAGAGGGGGGGGAAGGAAGAGAGAGGGGGGAAGAGAGAGAGGGAGAGAGAGAGAGAGGGAAGAGAGAGAGAGAGGAAGAGAGAGAGAGAGGGAAGAGAGAGAGAGAGAGGAAGAGAGAGAGAGAGGAAGAGAGAGAGAGAAGGGAGAGAGAGAGAGAGAGGAAGAGAGAGAGAGAGGGGAAGAGAGAGAAGGGAGAGGGAAGAGAGGGAAGGGAGAGGGGAAAGAGGGAAGGGAGAGAGGAAGAGAGAAGGAGAGAGAGAGAGGGAAGGGAGAGAGAGAGAGGGAAGGAGAGAGAGAGAGGGAAGGAGAGAGAGAGAGAGAGAGAAGAAGAGAGAGAGAGAGAGAAGGAAGAGAGAGAGAGAGAGAGAAGGAAGAGAGAGAGAGAGAAGGAAGAGAGAGAGAGAGAGAGAGAGAAGGAAGGAGAGAGAGAGAGAAGAAGGGAGAGAGAGAGAGAGAGAAGGAAGGGGAGAGAGAGAGAGAGAGAGAGAAGGAAGGGAGAGAGAGAGAGAGAGAGAAGGAAGGAGAGAGAGAGAGAGAAGGAAGGGAGAGAGAGAGAGAGAGCGAGAGAGAGGAAAAAAGAAAAAGAAAAGAAAAAGAAAATAAATAAATTTGTCCCAAAAAGGTAATGTGAAAGAAATTAAAAAGAACAAGAAAACAATGAAATAATCAGAAGATAATTTAAGATGATTTAGTCTTAAAAGTTGTCAGCCCATATCCTGGTATTTGTTTGGGTAATTGCACAGGAAACTTGAATCAGTCACTGTAACTATTCCTCACCTCCTGACCATTGTCTGTCTCTGTGTCTGTCTGTCTCTCATGCAAAAAAAAAAAAAAAAAAAATATATATGTATATAGTGAGCCTGAGAGACACAGTGACTAAGACCTTTTGTATCCATCTCTCAAGGACCAACGAGTCACACTCCAGAGAAACAACAACTTCTTTTTTAAGATCAACAAATTAGGAAAATAAAACCAATTCCTAATCAGTAATCTAGTTTAAAAGAAATTTTAATGTTAAAACATAAATACAATATTTACTTTAGTCTGTTTGGAATTTTCAAAATCATGAACAGGAAGAACATTTTTAACTGTCCTTTCATAATCAAATTTGACAAGAGTTTCTGAAAAGTAAAAGAAATTAGTAACTAATATTTAAAGTGTTAGCCAACCACATTAACTAATTGTCTGATCTTTTATAGTCTCAGCTGAATAGAGAAGCAGCTAATTCAAAAGAATTAGTGTCTTCTTTCTTCATGAATCTTGTTCTTTTATTGTCCTTTCTTATCACTAGTCTTCTTTCACTCCCAATAACCTTTTGCGTCATAGTGGCATTATCTCCTTGCATAGGGTGAAATGAATAAAGGTTAAAAAACAAACCTATCTTTATATATGGTATTAAGGGAATAGGGGTCTTTTTTATCCACATCCCCATAAAGAATTATGGTAATGCTCTAAATATTACGAACGAAAGAGAGATACTCACAGAGAAATATTGATGTACTGCAGGAGGTAGAGTGACATTGTATATTACTATAGAGAAATTAAAAGTGTTTGTGAATGCCAGCATCCTGATGAGGTTTTTCACAAATGATCCGCTGTAGAAATGGGTGTTGTTGGTGTTATAAACTAATGACCTACAAAGAAAGAGAAAAACAAATATGTCAAATTCATCATACATATAACATTCTATTAAAAGTGGGAAATTTATTTTAATTAGAAAAACTAGCAGAACGAGCTTTATAATTGGATATCGTAAAACTTCATGATTTGTTTCATAGTAGCAGCTTTTTAATATTTGTTAATTCAAGAAGGAAAATTAATTTACCCAGACTTGTTATGTCATTAGTCAACAAATTAACAGTTGTTCTTTATATTTTATCATCATAAATAATTAGTTGTGACCAATTAGTTAGAGTAGAAAAGAAGAAAAAAAAAAAAAAAACAAGAGCAAAAAAATATTTGGAGAAAAACACATTCATGCAACAACCAATTTAAGCACTGAATAACTGCTCAGAGAAAAGTTTTTTGCTCCCAAAAGAGAAACTAATATCAAACTTGTCTTCTAAAATATCTGTTGACACATTGGTTAAAAAAAAAAAAAAAGTTAACTGTTTAAAAAAACAAAAAAAAAATCCTTCCAATCAATTTAAATTAGTTTTGAATTACAGCGAAGTATTTTGTTTACTGAAAATATTAAAATTTAATCTTATTTTGAAATTAAAACTAAAATAAAAGCTTAAAAAGATTTTTCATTTTTAAAAATTCATTTTAAACCTTAGGTATCACGTTTTTGGTGGAGTTCCCTACCTTTAACTGTTAAAATATCAGTCAATCCATTACCCAAATTTTTTAAAAATTAAGTTTTCTTCTAATTGAAAAAAAATTTGAAATTCTAAAAGAAAAAACATTGAGACGGGATTAGTTTTCAGCTTAGCTGAATTCAGTTATGTTATAATCAATTCTTAAAAGACTTCTATATCCAAGTGTTTCTTATCACAACTAAGATCCACCATGCACATTGTAGTGGATCACCTTAATTCCTTTTGTATTCCACTAGGGAGATGCAAGTTCCACTTGAACAACTTTTTCCAAACAAACTGCCGCTTTGTGGAACTGATGCCCAAGAGGATGCTTCCCCAATCACTACAATCTGAACCTGTTCAAGTTTAGTGTTAACTTATTTTCCTCATATATCCCCATAAATTATGCCTCTTAATTTGTAACACTACTACCTCAAGTGATTCTTGGGCCTTGTAGAGGGTGAGATGTAAGTTTCACTTGAGCAGTTTCTTCCCAAAAAATGCTATGCGGAACCAACTCCCAAGAGAATGCTTCCCAATCAAAACAATCTTAACCTGTTCAAAGTCTAGGGTTAATTTATCTTTCACAAATATCCCCATAAACTGCGCCTCTTACTCTGTAACCCTTTACCTCGAGTGGCTCTTGGGCCTTGTACATTTGAGTGCAAAAAGTAAGAAAAAAAAAAAAAAAAAAAAAAAAAAAAAAAAATCAGCACAAGCAAATTTTAAATTTACAGTTCAATGTATTGAAATGGAACATTGCTATCAGGTGCATTAACAAACATTCAGCTTGTTACTTCTACAGACACAGAAGCATCATTTGTTAGCCAAAATTTCAGAACAAAACCATTTTATCTGTTTTTTTTTTGTTGAGGCAGGACAGATATTCATCTTGTGAAGTACAGATAGGACAGATATTCATCTTGTCCAAGTACACTAAGTGTTTTTATCGAGACACCATCTCAAGGAAGGCTGCCATTCAAGGCTCAGGACCCCATCCTAGCCATATATATATATATATATATATATATATATATATATAAGGAAAGAAGAGGTAGGTTCCTAGTTAAATAAAATGTATTTTAACCTAAACACCCCTCCCAAAATCATAAGTATACAAATAGAAAAAAAAAAATGCCGTAAGAATTTTTGCCGTTAACAATAAATCTTTAAAAAATCCAGACGACATGCATTTAACGGATGTCAGAATTCATTGAAAAATACATCCCTACCCCTACCAAAACGTAACTAATAACTGATACAACAAAATACGGCGATAATGAACTCGCAAACACCCCTAGTCTTGAATGAATAGTTTTCTCTGTATCCTTGGAAACGTCAATTAGATTTTTGCTGTGCTTTTAAAACCCAGTAATAAGTTACTCCAAAATTTGCTTGAGGATGAAATAGAACTAATGTCTTTAATTTAATTACAAAATTAAATTCAAAGCTTTTAGCTTCCATTTTTAAAACATGGTTAGAACTGTGTAGCAGAAAAATCATATTTTAAATCAATTTATTATATATATATATATATATATATATATATATATATATATATTGGCTGTTGAGCCCCTATAAAAAACTCTCAGAAGTGGGTTTAATCTTACATAAAGCAAAGTGGGTCTTGCCTAAAAATAGGATCTCTTTTCAAAATGATTTGAGGAAAAGTTTTTTCCAAATCAGGATGTGCTTCCCCATGCCCAGCTCAGACACTCAAATAGTTTTTTTTTGGGTTTTTTTTTTTTTTTTTTTTTTAATACCCACCATCTTGAAGAAATTTGCCATTCTAGGATTGAGACCCCAGCCTATATATGTGTGTGTGTGTGTGTGTGTGTGTGTGTGTGTGTGTGTGTGAGTGTGTGAGTGTGAGAGCCATTGACTTATAATAACCTCATCCACTCTTTGATACATCTTGTTTTTTTTTTTTTTTTGTCCTATGGGGTGACAACCTTTCTTGCTAGTAGAAAAGCTAGTGGGGGAGCCCAACCATGCTTCAGGTTGTACCGAGTTACAGGTTATCAGTAGTGGGCCTAAACATGATTTTAAGTGGAGTTAATTCTACATTAAAGAGAGAAACTATGGCATCCTTTTTCTAACTTTATTCTTATCTACATCTCATAGAGGAGGTTTTGAATCTTCCGACAGACCATCTCATTGTTTTTTTCATTAGCTTTTGTCTTCTACATTTAAAAATTTCTTAATCTGCTTATTACCAACTTGTCTCTGACAACCAAAACATGTCATTTGATTTGGAAAAATAAATATATGCAAAATGGAACACTTACCCATGAAGCACATTTACTTGATAAGGAATGGTCAGTTTGTTCTGACTGTGTTTATATTTGACCACAATTCTTCCTGACCACTGCCGGGGATTTAAGGCTTTTGTGGCTGTTTAAAAAATAAAAATAATAAAAATAAAAAACAAAAATGATATTTGCACATGTGTGTAAGAACATCAATAAGTGTTCCATAAGTTAAGTTCATTATTGCATTAAATTTTTTATAATCATGTAATTATCAACATTTAAATTTTCAAATGTTTTCAAAGATCACGTTAATCATCGTTTGTTTTAGACGTGACCAAAAGGATACAATTTTGTTAGTAGGTCTTTGTTCATGTTAATTTAAATTGAGAAGTCGTATTGTAAATTAAATAGGAAAGAACAAAGATCTTCAGGTGTTTAAAAAAAATACAAAACGTATAGTTATTTGATTTTTATGTCATAATGATTTGAAGGGGGTAAGGTTTCACAAGGCCAGATGTTCTTCCTGATGCCAAACTCAGGTACTCACAGTAGTCTAAGTACAGTGTTTTTATCGAGACACATTCAAGGCTGGCCTCATATATATATATATATATATATATATATATATATATATATATATATATTATATATTATATATTATGGAAATTTTTTTTTTACATTGTGACAAAGTTTTTTTGAGACAAAGTTTTTATCTTGTCATCAGGCAATGTTCGGTAATTTTGGTGAAAATGATTTACATTTGAATTGTTTTCTATTTTCAAATGTAAATCAGTTTCACCCAAATTACCGAACAGTGCCGAGGATGAGATAAAAACTAAGTTTTGAAACAGAAATTTCCATGTCACAATGTAAAACATTTTTTAATAAAAATATCATTAAAAATATGCTATCCATTGTATTGACTACTATTTTAAAAAAAGTAAATGCCAGAGAACTGTGGATTCTAAATCTATTTGTTCTTTGTGTGTGTGTGTGTGTGTGTGTGTGTTATATATACAAGTCCTTATTCTCATATATAAGTCTTTTTTCAGTATTGTTATTTTTGTTTAGTTTGGTTCCATCAATGGTTTTTGTATGTGTTTTATTTATATTACGTATATGTTCACCTATAAGAAGCTCATCAATTCTTAGAGAGGTCTTGTCATCCTGTAGATTGATTATTTAAAGGCTATTTAAAGCCAGTAAATACTTTTAGATTATAAGAATGTTTTGGAAATAATGATTTACTAATACAAGTCCTACTAATTAACCCATAGTTGGAGGAGCAGAAGAGGGGGATTCATACCTTTCCCAAAGGCATTTGCATATAAATAAATATAACAAATCCAATTGGAACTCAGCTTTCTGATTACCAATTCTGAACCATTATCCATTACACCACCTGGGGTACTGACCAGGCTCAATGTTGCTTAACTTTGGTGGTTGTACGAGAACTGTTGTTTCAACATGATATAACTCTAAGCCTACCTCACCAGCAAAATAGGTTTAGATACCAACCACCCTTTCATGTGGCAGCTTGCACTGGGTTACAGGTTACCAGTAGCATGTCTAAGCCTGACTGGATGTGAAATAAAGACTGTTTTTGAAGGATTTAAAAAACAGTGTATAATATGGTTTAAGTAGAACATGTATTATCAGCTTCATTTGCTTTCAACTGAATAAACGGGGGTGTTATTAAAAGTGAGGGTGGGGTGATAGGGGTTGATAGGAAAAAAAAAAAAAAATATCCACACACCTCTGAATGTAATGTGTGCCACTGTGACTGGCCGCAATATGTCAGGCTGTAATTTTATTGGTCGGAATTCCACAGACACAGCATCATTGTTTGGTGACAGTGACACTCCCTGAAAAACAGAAACATCATAATAGAAACAGTCCTTGCATGACTAATGGCTCAACAGTACCACTGCACATTGGTATGAGAGAGAGAGCAGATATAGACATATAGATAATGGCTTACTGTGATATGAACTGGCCGGGAACCTGTGTTGAGCAGATTTAGTTGCACTGTTTGGGGTTCATCAAGCGTTCGCAAGATGCCAAAATCTATCATCTCTACTGGAGAATATATACCAGGAGCTGCAAGAAGAATATCAGATATAGTTCTGACCAAATTACAAAGAAAGTTTCAGAAAATATTGAAGGATAAATAACATTACCAATGAACGAGTGGGAAAATGCTATAATCTAACCTAAATTTTAAGATTTAGGTCAAGTGTTTTATTTAAATGTTTAAAGTCAAATGACTATAGTTACAAGACAATACATAAATAGATTGTGCTCTACACACAAGTAAAGGGTTGGTGCAGATGGAATAAAATTCCGATAACCAAAAACACTATTCTTAAAAGAGTGCTCAATACAGAGTAGAGCAAATAATATTTATTCAAAATTATAACATATGCATGTTATAACATCACTACAAAAATAGCCATTTTGTTTCAACACTTCTGGTGTCTTATCAAGTGAGAGTAGTGATGTTATGACATGTATATGTTATAATTTTGAACATATATGTAAAGAAAACAGAATTGCTTATTTTATTTTAGTATAAGTGAAAACTCAATCCATTCTACGAGTACTCATATACAGGGTGTCCCAAAAGTCACCTAGGTATTTAAAAACGTTCTAACATGTCAATTTTTTTTTTTTTTTAATCCTTTATTTTTATGTACTTTTCAGAACTTGGATTAACTTAGGGAAATTCCTCTTGGGAAATTTTCCAACTAAACAAAGAACCAAAATCGTGGAAATTTTATTTAATCAAACTTTTGGTCACCGGATAATTTTGCTAAATTTCATGGCCACAATTTTTCCCCAGTTAAGGAACAAATAGGAAAACATTTATGAATTTAACGTTTCGATTTTATTTTAGCTTACTAAAACATTATTCAAGAAACCTTTAAGAGATTAATATATTAAGAAATCAGGAATTACCATCTCTGTTTAAAAATATTGAATCTATACTATAAATCCATTATGGACATTTCTATGATTGCAAACATCCAGTTTTAAGTTATTTATTTTTAGTCTGAAAACATTCTGCTATTGTGAAAAATAAAGAAAAAAAAGAAATATCCCCACATTTTCTCAGTGTGCCAATTTTGTGTGTCAAATAGGAAGCAGATTTTTCATGATTCAAATTCTATACATGTTATTTCCAAGACGTTTCACTAAATCCATATAGTGGAATTTCATATCAATATTCCTTGGGATATCATGGCTCTCCACAACTTCCTATCTTTAGTAAGGTTTCTCTTTTTGCTATCTCTCCTAAACTATTCTTCTAACCATTTACACAAGCACATTAAGTAGGTTGTTTGCCATTTTCATCTCTGTCTCTCTCTTACCTTCAGAGTAAGTTCCAAACCCTTTTCCCCTCATCATATTTCCAAAGAATTTCAACTGTCTTTTTCATCCTATACACTTTTGTTTTCATTTTCCTTAAAGCTTCCATGTTGCTCACAGATTTTCTTCATGACATTCTCATCATCCTTCTGTAGCACCATATATCTGTTATCTCCTCTTTATCTGTGAGGAAATTGTCCAGCATTCACTACTGTTGCATAGTATTTTCAGCAATCTGTTAAATCATGTTCAGTGTGTTATAGACAAGCGTATGGTTGCAAGAAAGAAATACGACAACAGTAGAAATAGATTTACGTGGTTTATTTCAACAGGAACGTGTGGGTTTGGGACAGCGACCTTGTGGTATAGTTCATAAGCCGGCTTTCGGATCTAGGTCGATCTCTCATAGTAGTTCACACATGCTGACAGTGGTTGACGCTCTCCTGCTGACAGCTGTTAAACGTGACCGGTCTCCTTTGTGGCCACCTGTTGACGCTATTTAGCAACTGCCCCACGCAGTCACGTGTGGCACAAGGCCGAATTTAAAGTGGGTTTCCCAAGCCCGTAGGCCCGGCCAAAAAATCCCCATAGACCCTGCATAAACGGGATCGGGTCTGTCTACCTCCCCGGACGAAACTCTGCCCTTCGGCATAGCCTCGTCCGGGTTCCTCTCTGCCCAAAGGCAGAGAGTTCGACTAGCGCAGCTGGGAAAGATCCCACCTGTTGACTGGCCGCTGAACTTCCCTGTGACCCCTTTTATAGCGTTTTTTTAAGGCTTAACAGGCTTGAGAAACGAAGCGAGTATAATTAGGAGGGAAGCATTTTTATTGGACGAAAAATAGAGCACTTTAAATATTATTTTATTTTTCAACCAGAACACGTATGTCGGAAACATTTGTGAAGAAAGATAATGGTTATTTTGTGACGGGGCTTTGTCCCATTCACATCCGGTTCTCGCTCTTGAGTATTTGCCTGTAAATCAGCCGAGATATGTCATTTTATTTTATAACAAGTGTAAATAACTGTCCCCCAAAATATCTGGAGCTTTCTTTAGCAATAGAAAGCACAGGACTCACTATATCGCACTTGCACATTTATCTAGATTTTCTATCCCACTAATTACCTCCCAGCCTTCAGTAGAAATTCCACCCTGTTTCTATGTCATTTATGGACATTCTTTAAATTTCTCTGATATAGATTTCAAATATTACATCATTTGAAAATGCTCCTTTCTTTTAATATAAAAATGTACTATCAGGAGATACATCAAGTTTGTAATTTTCTGTACAAATTTAACAAAACATTAAAAAAATCCTGTTTGAATGATGGTATAAAAAGATTCTTTCAAGATGGAACTATATATTCCCATTTGAATCCAATAACACAAACAAAAAACCACTACATCACCTTCAAAAGCAATATTATTTGTTCTGCCAACCAGTTACTTTTTTTAATGTCGAAATCTAAATATTTTGAACACAATTTTATTACTTCAATTACAGATAAAATGTACTGTTGATCATTTTGCTATAAAATGTATTGTTGGTAGATTTTTTTTTTTTATATATAAAAATGTATTGCTGGGATTTTTACTATAAAAATGTATTTTTATATTTTCATAGTGCTTGAGGGTTCACAATTTGCCCATAGCTGGGGCCCTAACAGGTGCTACCACCCTGTGACAAAAAGGGGATAAAATTAAAATGTCTTAGTGTTGTTGCCCCCTGCAGTCAATCAATATACCGTTTTAAGTCAAACTGAAAATAGAAAGGCAGGCTCCATTCAATTCAGAATGCCATAAACTATACTAACATTTATTTAAGTTGAATGCACATGATTGACCAATGAGAATCAAACAACACAAAATTAAATATAACAGAATTTATTTCTTCTTTTTTCTCTCCATATTTCAGTCTCTGATAAAGCTTTAATGAAAGTGAAACTGTATTTGAACCCAACTCTATAGACATGTATGTATGTATGTATATTTCATTTAAAAAAAAAAAACCCAAAAAACAATACATTTTCAGTACCCTTACTTTTCTCCTCCTCCACTCCTACCACACCTCATCTTGTGTGCCTATTTGTTTATTTTTAAATAAGATAGCGTTCATTAAATATTTTTAGCATTATTAAATTAATTGACCAAAATTGCCTGAAGATACTGAAAGGTTGAAACCAAGGTAGCAGAATCAGCTGATCTAATTTTTTTTTTTTTAATACATAAAAGCTCTACATGTCAAATTTTTATTTTATTTGTTTTTTTTAGTACATGTACTGAGCACTTTTTGATACTACTGTTTCCTGGTCTAATTCAACTATTAACTTTCTATTATATATATATATATATATATATATATATATATATATATATATAAAACAAATAATCCCCATATAATATATGGACTGCACCACCATTGCTTTAATCAGATATTTCTATTAAAATTTAAATTATGGAATGGTCAGTGTCTACTCAGTTTCATGCACAATGCAATCTTCAGGTGCTGAGTCATGCTGAGAAATTATAAATGATCAGAACTCATCTCAAAATGCAGACACAAAATAAATTTTTACAATGTTACTTAAAAATTGAAAACTGAAAAGAATAAAAATAAATAAAATAAAAATAAGTGAAAACAAGTAAAATGAATTAATCCAAATAAAGTAAATAAACAAATTAACAAACCACTCCCGCCAAAATAACTGTTATAATAGACTACCCACAATGCACCACTAACCCATATATATAAAATGGGCAAGAAAAGCATGTGGCCTGATAATTACATTTACCCTGCAACAATCTGATAACTGAGTGTTGACTTCCATATATATATATCTCCAATTAAAACGAGAACAAATGGAGTATAATTCCAGTGTACATAACATTTATTAAAAAGAGGACTCATTACAGAGTAGAGCTAAATTATATTTTAGGATATTAAAACAAAAACGTTAAAAATTACTACATAATTACAATCATGTTTCAACACTAGAAATGTGTCTTCTTGGGCAATGTTAAACTACTGGCAAGTAAACGATTAATTTCAAAAGTATAATGCTTCCTCTTTTTTTTTGAGAAGAAGAAAAAAAAAAAAAAAAACAGAAAAAATAGGATTATGCACTTTGCTGTGAATAACCAATTGGATGTGACCTACACTAAATTCAAAATTTTTTTAATATAGATCATGACAAAAAGTTGTCTGCATATAAATCCTAGACAATTTCCTTATGGACAGATACAAGTGGTTACATTATTTCCTAAGATGTATAGAAGTCTAGCATTCAACTTCCCTAATAAGTAAATGCTAAAGGTGTAGGGAGGTAATTTAATAGAATGCTAGCCAGCTATATGCTCATTCAGTTTCTTACATAAAATTTTGTAGTTGATAAGAAACCCAGCTCAAAAATATAGAATTACTATGGCAAATGAATATGCAATAAAGAGCATCCATATAAGATGTTAAGAATACTAGCTAAACACCTGTACATTCATATATACTGTAAGGTAAAGGTAGGCTATGCCTATAATTTACAGTTAATTCACTTCTTTGGTTTAATAAGGAATTTTTATCAGAAAATCTGATAATTTCTAATTTTTCATGTAAGCATAGAAAACGGGGTTCATTTAAAGATGTACATGTTCTGGTGTCTTTTTTAAATTTTCCTTTTTACCTTAGGAGTTTTATTAGCTTTTAAATTCAAAAAAATATTTAGAAAGATGTACTATTTTT